TTCAAGCAGACGTCTGCCAACAAATTTTCTTCATCTGAATAAAAAAAAACATCAGCTTCCCCATTACTTGTCAGTCATTTGTTTTTGAAAAAAAAAAAAAAAAAAAAAAAAAAAAAAAAGACAAGCACGCAACTAGGGAATTTTTCCACAATTCAAATTATTTGCTTTTATGGTTTTATTTAAAGTGATGATCACAGGCTGTGCACATGCAGTCGGAGTCACTCTACAATTTGCCGATTTAACAGAACTGTATACGTGATGCAAAACAGAATCATTCAGCTAGAATTCCGCAAAAATCCATTTGCAAAATTCCACCCAACACAGCCCCCCAAGCGTACGTGGCATGGTGTGAACGGCAACACAAAGATGCCCCCGTGTTTCCCAGCGACGAACCACGCTTGCCTCATTCCATGCATTTCTTTACTTATGAAGGGATGCCGACTAAAAACAGAATCAATCGGTATCTGACAACTCGACACCATGTCAATATGCACGTCTCAGCCTCGAATGAGTAGCAATACTTGTGCATTTGTGCCTAATTTCCCCTTTAATGGTTGCCTGTTAAGGGTCCCTGGCAAGCTGAAGACTTCAAGTTAAACTTCATTGGTCACAACATTAAAGCATATTCTGCTTGTCCTATATGCAGCAGCTTATTGTAAAGATATAATGGACAAAGAGCACTGAAGATCATAACTTTAGCGCTGTAGAAAATATTCCCGTTTGTAGCCGAACTCCAGAAAATACTGTAGAAAACTCAACCACCCACATGACAGTGGGCCAAAACATACATCAAAACTACAAAGCAACGAACAGCCACATGCAAAAATGTTTTCCTCCAGCAACTTCAATCTGCAGACCTCAATCCAATAACACATTTGTGGTTCAAATTCAAGACTACCCATAAATTGAAGGTTCTGGAGGACCCAGAATAATTTTCTCTTGAGCAATAGCCAGAAATCCCTTCGAGAAGCACCAGAACCCTACACGACTGAAGGGTTCGTCCGTATAATTCAAATCAAGGGGTGTTTGAGCGAATACTTGATATTGTCGTGTAAATGTTTTTTTTTTTTTTCCTTGGAGTCCTGACAAATGAGTTTAATTAACCAGTAACATCTTTAAAAATTTAAGGCAACATTTCATAGGCACTGTTTGCTTGGGATAATATAAAATGAGGCATGAAAATATTCACTATAGTGGTCTCTTGGGCCTAACCTCGGAGCATCCAATTTTGAATGATTTTCTCTTGTTCCCATACTGGTACTCTTTAGGCGTTTCCACACCACAACCAGAACCTTTTTCTGAAACCAAGATCTTTAGTTTAGTTCCCACCGCAGGAACTCAGTCCAATTAGTCAGTTACTCAGTGTCAGTTTTGGAACCATTTTTTAGTTCCTACTCCAAACTAGGTACTTTTCAATAGAAGAAACTACTCGAGTGGGGCTTATAGTGATAACTTGCTGATTGGTTGACCACAAGCACTGGCACCAACCTGGAAGTTATGCACAAGTGATGAGAAAAGTAGTAGTGAGGTAAAAATTTAGCAAATTATTTTGTATGAATTTTTTTATGTATCTCAATTTCATTGAATGCATGAGCAAAAGCCTTTTTGCTTACACTGCCATATCTATGCATTAGAAAAAAGTATAAAAAGTGATCTAATTGTCTATCGCCGGTGCTGTTGGTGAAGCTTGCTGGTGCTTATTAGTGGAATGTTACATCATTTTTTATTTGGTGGAAAACAAAAGATCGATCCGCTGGTCAGATTTAATAAAGAATTTTAAACATGTCATGGGTCGCATAAATAAACGGCTGTATCTGATTTTGATCGTGATCAATCCCCCCAGTAACTAACAAGTGACTTGTTCATTCTCCATTGTTTTGGGTGCCGGCAGTTATGTATGAAACTACCCGCGAAGACATAGCCTGCAAGCTGTTCACATTACTACTTACCTAGCATACAGTTTACAATTCCCGCTGTGCACAGCGAAAGCGGCACTCAAAAATTGCTAGGAGTTACAAAAGTTCCCAGTCGAAACGGCACTGGAACTTGGAACCAGGTTCTGCAATTTCGGTGTGAAAGCACCCTTTTGTATGACAGGTAGATCAGTTTGCAGATACTTACAGCAAACAGAGCAGGTCCCATGTATGTCTCCATATACTGATAATAGAGAGACATTATCTTCACCAGATTCTGTAAAGCAGCAACTCGTACCTGGTGGGGGAGAAGCCGAATCAATATTTACAATCGCAGCAAGTAAGAACACGACAAGCTACCGACTGGTCTGTCAGTATTAACTTTAAAATTCTACTCCATTTCTTATGTTTGTACTTTTTTCGCCAGCATTATCATTAGAATATTCTGGTAAAAGCAAAAAAATCCTGTATTGTTATTCCAGACAGTACGACTGACACTGTACAACTGTGTATTATTTGGTTTATTACACGGCTCCCTGGAATGCTTGATTCTGATTGGTCAGTTGAGACATTTGCAGGTTCGTTCTTTTCAAATAATAACCGCTCCAAAGTAATAACGCATAGCCGGTACTACTTGTATGTTTAAAATCCCTCCGCGCCAACAAAGATTACCGTTTAAAAATGTTAATTTAAAACAAATATGCCAATAAAATGTTTAAAATTCATATTCATGTCCAGTTTTTTTCCTTATGTGGCAAGTAGCCGTGTAATAAGCGGGATAATGTACAGGCAGCCGGTAGTTATCGCGAAATAAGCCCCTTCAGTGTGATACAAGACCCTCCGCTTCGCGTCAGGTCCTGATCACACTGGCGGGGCTTATTTCTGCGATAACTACCGGCTGCCTGTACATTATCCCTTACATGAAGAATACATTTTGAATCTCAGCACTACTGGAGATCAGAATAATGTCTCGTGAAATAAAAACAATTTTTACATTTTTTAAAATACATACTCTGTTATCTGGACACTGCGTGGCTTCACACACAACCTGCATGATGAAATGCCGCTCCGTCTAGGAAGGAAAAAAAAAAGAGGGGTTGGGGGGCTTCAGGCCGAGCTAAACTTACAGGAAATTATATTCTTCACACCCTCAGGTCTCAGGTGATACAGATGAATTTTACATCAGTCATCAGCGTGGTGCATGATTTCTCATCACAGACCAGACAGAGCGCATGATATCAGTGTAAGGGGACATTTAGCAGCATAAATTGTATTCAAGTTAAAGTTTTAGTTTATTGTTGGATGAAAAAAATATTTTAAAAACAATGTTTTTCGATGTACAGACAGCTTTCCGCATGTTATGAATTCATACAAAGAGGAAACAAACTGATATTAACACAAATTCTCAGGATTTTGCAGGCTTCCTTCATTATAAATGTATTCAAAGGGGAGACAAAAAAAGGTCTGTATAGACAAGGTGAACGAACGCACCTCTTTGTCGAAGTTGGCTTTGGTAAACTCCAAGGAATTGAGCAGTGCGTTCGTAGCTGCCAACTTTACGTTGTTGCTGGGCTCCTCTTTGCGCATACCTTGGATGATGGCTGTCAGGATCTGGTTGGCGTTATCCTGCAGCTGTTCTGGGTCCTAACCAGTAATAAACATGGAACATGCAACATCTAAGATGTGTCACAAAGCATTGATCCTGAAAGCCAATAACAGAGCATAGCTCAATTCACCCTCTTCAGACAGTACCAATAAAATCACCCCATTATCTACACTACTCTAGTCATTACTCTTACTATGGAGGACCGCAATCAACACCATCTTAACGGCATACTTACGATGTCCTGGCAGATGTAGCCAATAGCCTCCAGGGTAGATTCCTTCATATGCTCGGTGCTGCTGGGATCGGTGACATTAGCTACAAGTTGAGGTATGAGCTCCGGCCACTGGGCCACAGGGATCTCGGCACAGGCTATCCCGGCAACACACTGAGACGCCGAGCTGGGGCGGTACGTCTCCGTGCCCAGCGTCTGCAGAACCTGAAAATGCAACAAAGAGGACTGCGTCACGCAAAAACGCTAACAGGCAATCTCTACACACCAGAAAAGCCAGACGAGTGATGACAATCGATTCGTAACAGTAAGGAGACTCACGTAGCTTTTGATCTCCTGCCGGGCATTGCTGTCAATGGCCAACCATCGCTGTTGGTACTGTGCCTTCACATCCGGGTCTTTCGAGGTTAGCGAGTTCTTGACCTGCAGCCCCGCTGCCACACGGGCCACCTGGCTGTTTCCAGGATTTGCCAGAACCTTAGAAAGCTCCACTAGAAATGTGGGCTGAGGAAGCAGAACGGAGGCATGAATGAGGCAGTCGGGTTCAAGGAGGCGATGTCACACTAAAAAAAAACATTCAAGTATTTAAAGGAAATAGTCTTATGACTTCACAGTCACTCATGATAAACTGATGCAGAAATCTGCACTGGATCCCTCCTGGGAATCAAACTGTGGCAGTGTCACACTACCTGCTGCACAGCCAGCAAACCCACACATGCCCTCCATCCACCAGCCTCTCGGTGTCAATATGATAAATCAGTCACGCCTGCACATAATCAACATTTTCACAATGGCCAAGTGCTCTTTTGGCAGAAACCTTTGTTCAGCCATGGCGGACCATCATGGCATTACTTAACACTGGTGGGGACAAGGGGCGGTGCTCTCAACAAACTTGCAACAGCACAAGACTAAAAGGGCAACCGAATCATTTTTTACTGGGAGCATAGTGTGTGCAAAATAGAGCTGGGCAACAGAGCCACGTAAGCTGGGCAACAGAGCCACGTAAGCTGGGCAACAGAGCCACGTAAGCTGGGCAACAGAGCCACGTAAGCTGGGCAACAGAGCCAGGTAAGCAGCGGAACGTCTCCCCCATGTCGGAGAACCTCAAATCGGGGGAAAAAAGCATGTTTGTAATCATTTTCTGCTTAAACCATTTTACGGAAAACAAAACTTAAATCCGCCAAAATTTAAAAGCAGATTAAATGTCCGGAGCCAATCAATGGAGTTTGAATTAATGACTAAACTATGCTCTTACCTAAAAGCACAATTTTCAGCTAATTATACAAATATTGATTAGAAAACCAATGATCACCTCCTATTAAAGTACATAAGCAGCACATTTCTCACGGACGGGCCAGAGAGACAGACAATATCCCTGGACACTTCCCACCTCACTCAGAATTTGACCCGACCTAGTGTACTTTCAATTTTAGGATTTGGGAACCTTTGGGAACCATCTTAACTACAGAGCAAACATTCTGCAATAAGAATCAAACATGTGACGTCGGTAACTGATTACGAACTGACAATTTAAATACCAGGTAAAAACTTATAGGAGTTTGTTGCAGCCCGGCACACAAAGCCAGCAGAAACAACTCAAGAACCAGAACCCTTTTTAAATAAAAGGCTAACTTTTAGAAGCACCAGACACATTAGGCTGTGGTTCCAATACTTGATTCTAAATCAAGGGATATTTAGAGTTCTACCTTGATTTATCTTGCTGAAGGAGCTGGTAAGGAGGACAGACCTCCTGATCACTGATAATTCACCCACACCTGGCAGACAACCTGCTATTTATAACCCTGATCATCTAAGTAGTAACTATTTGAATGTTACTACCAAAGTATCAGTCCTGTTCCCGCAGCCACAGCTAAACATATGGAACTTAATCATGCAACTGAATGACAAGCAAAAAGCTGATGCCCACCAGCTAAGTTTCATACCACTTTAAATTGAATGCTTTGAAAACGTCACTCTTACTATTCCACATATATCCAAGCCTTGCATTTAGAGCATTTTCCAGGCCTGCTCCACCCCCAGGGAAACGAATCAAATCAGTTTTGAGGATCTGCAATTATCTAGATGTGACAGCAGTCCATGCTGCAATCTTAAGCAACTCGCTGCAGAATTGAAAAGTGTCCAAATTTGACATTAAGCGACGGATCGATGCCGCAGATCCTAAAAATCACAAGTGAATCAAACGTGCAGCCGACATGCACCGATCGCAGACACCAAGCAAAAGCGTTTTATCCAAAAAAATGAAATTGTCTCATATTTGTACTGCTTCAATGGTAAAATGACAACTTAAGACAAAAAACGGCCCCCCTCCATCACAATACTCCGCTGATAACCTCTTCGATACAAGGCCACGCCCAGAACCGATTCGGCCTACTGACCCCTGTGACTAGACAAATCAAGCATCTATACTGTACAGGCAGCAAAAAACTGCATGCGTTTTCGGGCTATTTTCTCTGGGGGGAAGATCGTTAGCCTCGAAGTGACATATTGGCTAAGCGTTGCTAATCACTGTCGGGGGCTATCGGCTTAGCGTGCCGGAAGGCGCTGCAGCCGCGGGCTAAAGCATGCCGACTCCGGCTTTTCGATGGTACCGTGGACTCCCAGGCACAAACACACATACAGGGAAACAGTGGGGGTTCGCAACGATACCGCAGTTTCACTTGGAAATGACGATTAAGAAAAGTAAACAGGCTTTTTTAAAACAACATGCAAGACGTGCAAAGCTGCCGCGAGGGTGAAGGGGGGGGGGAATGCCGGTCAAACTGAAACGATGCTGGGGAGGGGAGGAGGGGGGAGAGAAAGTGGGACATGTACAAACCAAGTTTTCAATCGCCGCCTGCTCCAGAAACTTCTGCGCAGCCTCCAGCTCGTTCCGATCTAAAAAACAGCGAAGCGGGAGAAAGACATTAGCCGCCCAACTTCCACCTCAGCCCCGCTTTCCTGACGGCGCCGCGCCGCTGCCACTGCAGCGCCGTAGCGTGTCCATGCATCGTGCAGTCCATCAAATACCGGGCCCCCCAACCTAAGACGAACCCCAGGCGGCGGCAACACATTAAAAAACATCAACATTACAGCTAAATCCTGGCCAGACGGCTTCTGGCGTACTTCAAGCTAGCCATCCGCTAACACCCTAACCTCCAGCCTGGCGCCCCGTAGTTAGGCTAGCAGCCTGCCTAGCGCGTAGCACACGGGCTGCCCCGCACGGCTTAGAACCCGACAAGCGCGCCGGTGGCGGCCGCGGCCAGTCGCCTCGTCCGGCTGTCGCGCAGAGATGGTCGCCGCGGGGCCAGTGCGCCCTGGCAGGAACGTATTTGAAAGCTGCAAGATCTGAACTTGGCCTTGAATTATTGAATCGCCTGCGCTCCCCGTAAACATGCTTCCTAGGCAGGCTAGGCCGACCTACTCGCGGTGCCCATAAAGCAAATAAAACAGGTGAAATAATGGCTACGCGTTTAAGGGAGAACGGATACGTGCTAAATCAATTAAATACCCGCAGGATCGTGTCTGCGGAATGAAAAACGTATAATATCGTGAGTATTATTACTGAGGAAAAAAAACCGGGTAAGCGGAGTATGCAGGCCATAAGGTAGGAACCCCCTCCCTCCTTTTTTCTAGCACAACTTCCTAATTCTGAAGCAATATACAGACCCCGTTTGAAAAGTTAAAATAACGACTCTACCCCCAAACAGCAGCGGGAAGGGAATAAGCGTAAGGAAATCGCTGGCGTTGTATAATCACCTGGAGAGACAGTTTTTTCGAGGATTGTGATCAGCTCCATTCTGTCCGTGCCTCTTCTCCACAAAAGTGCAGCACACAATACAAACCGGATAATATTTCTTCTGTGTTCAAGTGATGTAACAGGAACGTAATGAAGCAAAGAACGCCAAAGGGGAAGAAGCAGATAACGCTCAGGTATTTTCCCCCCACTTGTCGACTTTACGGTGAATATGCACAGTTTTTTAATATCTGGATGTGAATATTTTCTGGCTGAGCAGGACTGCCGCTGCTCACTCTCAGCCCGTGTTATCGGAAGGGGAAAAAGACCGCGTCACCGTCCCGCGGAAGGATATCACACGCCGCCGCAGTGGCAGAAGCCCTCCTACGCGCCCCTGTTAAACCCATAGAAATCGCGAGGAGCAACCGGAAGTGTCACGTGACGACCCCCGAAAGGAGCGCGAGGAGTTCGTACAGGAGTAAGTGCGTGCGATGTATAAGCGCAAAATACCAATGGAGTGAATATCCTCATTCTTTTCTTTATGAAATAAGGTACCACTTCTTTTTGCTTTCATAAAATAAAAAAATACAGTTCCAGAGACTTGTGTCTGTCCGAGCTTGCTGTATGCTGTATCTGATTGGCTAAATTCAAGAAGCGCTGACTAATATAAAATCTATATGGGACCACTGTTCATTTGGTAAACTGATTATTGAACAATAACAAGTTGCACTGCATTGCTTATTATATGAACAAACTGTAAAATGCACAATTTCATTGCATTTGTTTCTGCATCGGTTTTTAAATTGTAAGATTGATTTGTGTATTTTAATATGATACGATTAATATGATTAACATTTGACTCTACATTTTTTTGTAGATGGTAAAATTTAGATGGATTCTTACAAACTGAACGTATCAAATGATTTGAACACGAGTCCAACAAGTTTCTGGTAATAATAAATCACAAACAAATCACAAAAATATGTTTGCCAAATGTCAAGAAGTGCACCACCTTACACGTTATGGTTAGTGTTGTGGCGACAGAAGAATTTGTCCACTGTGGGGCCACGTTTAAGCGGTGGCCCTTGGGTTTCGGCCGTGTATTAAAGCGAAGGAAATGGGCTGAGCCGTCCCACTCTCATCAAGTGTTATCATCAGCGTTAGGTTGGGATACCAACCTTGGATCGAATCTGAAAGAAAATCTCCCATCAAAAGCAGTGGTTTAGCAAGGTAGCTTTTTTAAGTAACATAGGAAGACAGCTGGTGAAACATCTACAGTATAAACAATTATAAGCATGGCCAATACACAAATGAATTATGATTCATAATCACTGTGTGAGATTTGTATGAGCCAATGTCATTGACTAAATAAGTATTATTAGATTCCTATTCGGAATCGTATACTTATTGTTAACAGCGGTCAAACTAAAATAGCAAAGAGATTGAAGAAAACGATAAAATTACAACTGAAGTGAGGTTTCAAATATGATTTAAAAAAAAGATTATAACATTTAAAACTGGCTTTTGTAGCCCCCTTTGTACCTCTGGGACCATGGACAGCTGCGGTTGTACCCACTGTGGGTACCCTTGACATCTGGATTTGTTGTTATCTGACTAACATTAGCTGTTGTTTTTCTTACCTTGTTATTTCTGCAACTTAAACGTCAAGTAAGGCTGCAGGAATTTGAGTAAAATATGACGCAATTTTTTTCACATCGCGATTTTACATTACATATTGCCCTTACGAAGACGGAACAAACAATAAGAGGCTATATATATATATATATATATCGTACGATACATTGATTAATATACCGATATTGCCAGCTGATATTTAAACTTAAATGCTGAAAGTTAGCAGCACTAGAACTACAGACATGACCACTGAAATGATGGGCATTATTGCACTGGAAGATCAACCATTTTCCGCAGTGGAAGACTAGAGATTTCTTCGGCTTGTTCAACACTTATGAGGTCTCACGGTACTTGTGTCGGAAATCATCAGCAAAACTAATGGAAAGACTTGGACTCGACTTGGCCTTAAGAGCAAATGACTTGAGACTTGACTCGGACTTGCAATGTTTTGACTCGAGACTTGACTCAGATTCGCCAAGCAATGACTTGTTCCCATCCCTGCTGAGTAACCTGAGATTAAATCCTGCAGGCTCCCTTATCTGGGACCATGCATTGCCAATGGCTTACCAGCTTATCAATGCCTGTCACAGATTTTAATCAACTATGTATGTATTTACAAAGTACCCCAAATAAAGTTATAAAGAGACTTTATTATATGAATCTCAAATAACCACTACCCTGTATAGTGTAAGGTGAAGGAATGGAATGGCAATGAGAAAGAGTAATTCAAGATTTAAACAATTTATTGTCATATGTCAATGAAATTCTTGTTGTGATAGTTCCCAAAGCCGCATAATCACACAGTAGATAGCATATAAAATATACATACCTACCACAGATAAGAAAGATACAAAAATGAAGAAAATAAATAAAAGTAGTTACTAATGTTCGGTACATAAAATGTAACATATATGAAGTTGCTGGTCCACTAAACATTTTGTACATGAGAATTTACATGCATATAAGTTAAATGTGCAGCGTAAAGTGGGTGATGTCATCAGTCCAGTGAGAAAATATGTGCAACTGCATGTAAAGTGGAGGGTGTTGGGTATCCATGGTCATAGTGATGGGGGGGGGGCAAATGCTGACGCTTCTGATGACCTGGGGTTACAGACTGTTCCGGGGTCTAGATGTTCTAGTATTTAGACTCCAGAATCCCCTGCCAACCTTCATGAGAGTGAAGATTTGTTGGGCAGGGTGGGTGGGATGGCTGATGACACAGTTATCCCATCTGCAGATTCTCCTGCCACAGATGTCCTGCAGAAGGAAGATGTGTCCCTGTGATTTTCTGCCCTAACCTGCTCACCCGCTGTAGTGATCGTTTGTCCTGTGCAGTGCGGCTGCCAAGCCTCACAGCCGTACAGCAGGCTGAAGCACGGGTAATGCATAGTCATCCTCCATTTCTACTGGCAAACCATGACACAGTGGCTGCAGGCCTGAAAAACATGCTTCAAATATGAGCCGCAGCTCCAAGAGCCAGCATGTATATTCACACAGTTGGTGTATATTTGAGTAACACGTCGGACAGTTAGTTACAACAAGGTTCAGTTGTGACAAAGTTTGCATTTTACATTAAAATATATTTGGAATTAAGATCTGAGTATGCATGTATTTATCCATCTGAATTCCCACCCCAGTTGAAGAACGACCCTCAAACAAAAACTGCTTTGTCATAACATCCAAACTGCACAATATAAAGTTCCCATTAATTCTTTTTGATAAATTTCAGATTTGAGAATAAATATTTGGCTCCTCGGAAGATTGTGAAAAATAAAAGCATTAAGTGACATAGGTAATACTGTACATTCTCAGAAAAAATGGTAAGCATTTGTACCTTTGCTTGTCACAGGTGCTGTACCCTCCAGGGTCTGCCAATTGTACCATTAGCTGTAGGCAATTGTAACTTTTAAGGTACAGAAATTAACTCTGAGTAACTTTGATTGATGGTACATTAATGCTGTTTGTACCATTGGGATGTTCATCAGAGTCTATTTCTGTACCTTAAAAGGTACAAATACAACAATGGGGACCATGAGCTTACAGCCGTCAAACTACAGAAATATGAACTTCAAGGAAAATACACACGTTTGTAATTTGATAAAACCTGAGCTCTTGGCTCTTTTGCCCGAATGACTGAAACTGCCCCATTTATGAGAACTTTATTGAGGGGGACCCCCCCCTCCCCCGATCGGTAAAATTTACCGAGAAGATCCCCCCCCCCCACACCACCAGGATCGAGCACCGCCCCGCGAAAATCCCTGCACGGCACAAAATGTTGCCGTCTGCAACTTCTGATATATACGTGATATGTATTAGTTTAGGAAATAAATTTGTGATATTTATGCATATTATAAGATAGTGTTTTAACGGCAAAACATGACATTTGTGCAACAATATGCGTCGTGCATATCGGCTACATGACACGGTTTGAACTGGCATTCCTCCCGCTTGCTCTGCTAATGTGTGTTTTCTGCGATAGGCGCCACGAGGTAAGCGATTCTGGAAGATGGATTAAGTGTCTCTATTGCGACACCAGGAGGATCTAAATGAAATTGCACTAAAAGTCTTCAACGCTTGGGAGATTTTCATTACGATAAAATGTTTTGAACTTAAGTAAAAGAGGTGCTGACATTTTGAAAATACTTTTCTGTTGGCCGCCATGCAGTTAGTTTGATGTTTTAATCCACTATCAACGCGTACTTGTAACGTATTCAAATAAAGTCTTGCTGTGCCAGTCACTACAAGATCTGAATCAACCGTGTTAAACTATTAAAGCATTAAACTTTTCAAGTAATTAAGGACTTTACACCATCTGCAAAAACTTGTACCCTTACAAATTATAGAAATCTCATGTATTTGCATGAATTTTCATTAAATGACCTTTACTTGTCTGCAGGGGTGCCGATAAAGATTTTGGGCCCCGTGAAACCAGATCAATCGGATTATGTTCCAAATTTTTTAGGGCCACAGTTACTCAAGGGCCTTTGAAATTGTCCTAACTCTCCCCCCCATGGCACCCCTGCTTGTCTGTATTGACACTGGCAAAGACCCTCCCAGGACCTAGACATATACGTTGTATTTTATTTTACTTTTGCTTGCTTTTAGATTGAAAAAATAACTAAAAGGGAAAACTAATTGTAATTTGCTTTTGTATATGGCTTTCCAGGCTGGGGCATATGTGACTCAAACCCATGACTCAGATCCCATAGTGACAGTGTCACCCGCAAAGTCATTACTTAAGAGTTCAATCACAGGCATCCCACCTCCCCTGGAATTCCCAGGCCCCTTAACACCCGCGAATGAGTAAAGTCAGTCAATTCTACCCCAGCACCCCTCCTACTCAGTAAGTTTTCCTGCACCCCTAAGACCCATGCCAGTCAGCCTGTATCTTATTTTTATACCGTCTTACCGTTCAGACATTATTCTGCAGTATTCCATATTTTGAAAAGATATTTTAAAAAGCAACGGTATTGCAATGTACCCCGATAAAATTAAGTGACTCAGCATGCTAATTTTCTGTTGCCACGATCACAAGATTGCCCGCTCGAGCCTCAGCAGAACAGCCACATGTCCATGGGCCCTTGAGCGAGGCCCTTAACCCCCAGCTCCAGGGGGCCCCACATTGGCTGACCCTGCACTGTGACCCCCCCCAAGCTATGGAGAGCAAAATGGGGTGGGCAAAGAGAAGAATTCCAGTGTACTTTACTTGTGCAAATGGCAAATAAACAATTTATCAGAATGTCATAGAAACAGTATTTCTGTTTCTATGAATGCAGAAATGAAACAATGCATTGACGAATGTGCACTATTATCAAAGCTAAAGGCAGCGCAACAAAATATTAAAGTGTGTGACTTTTTTTTTTTTGGTCAGGCAACATACAGATATAACAAAAGTTCTTAGAGTAAGCCATCACTGCATTTAAAGCTTTAACTCTGAATAAAATAACTTCATACAAATAAAACTAACAAAAAACACAAAGGAATGATTAAAATGTGTTAGAATACACTTATTCTAACTGGACATGCCCCCCGTTTCATGTATATCCATAATATCCATATACTAAGTAGGAGATATTGGTGGAGGGTGGCGTAGGGGCGTGGATAATCCCCCCCCCCAGACTAAGCAAATTTTGTTGTGTGGCTGAGACTGGTGTCCCATATTTCTCCAGACTGAAAGTAGTAACACCTTTGGGGTAAACATTTGTAGTTATGCATAATGAAAGCTTGGAGCTCACTGAATTCCAGGGGATGTAAATAAACACGTGCTGTGGCTGGGTGAGCCACCAGGTGGCGCTAGCGGCCTCAGCTGCCTCTGCCAGCGCGCCTCTCCCCCACGTCGTCCTCCACCACCAGGCTGTAGCCCGTCTTCCTGACACAGTCCCCCAGCAGCCACAGCACCTGCTGTAGCCTGCGGTCCAAGGCGTCCAGGTGTGGCTGGAGGAGCACGGGCGCCAGGCGGTCCTTCCGCAGGGACTCCGACATCAGGACGCTCAGCTGGTACTCCTCCTTGGCCAGCAGCTGAAGGCGCAGGAGGGTAGAGCGCCTCACCCTGGCCAGAAGTGAGCATACATGAAGGCACACTCACAGGTAGCCAGAGGTGGAAAGTTGAGGGTCAGGAAGAACAAACCCAGACCAAGATTTAGTTTCAACCAACCAGTTGAGCATAAAGAGTCATATTCACAGATACTCAACTGGTTGGTTGAAACTAAATCTTGGTCTGGGTTTGTTCTTCCTGACCCTCAACTTTCCACCTCTGGAAGTAGCCTATTTATTCAAAACAGTCAATTTATAAAATACTGAAAACTACAAAGACGACAATATTAAATACTTTTATAAAACTGTAGGTGAAACACTGATGTTCTCACTCATGCAGGAGGACTTATGACCCACCTGCAGCACTGACTTAAAGGTGCCAGGATCGAGGCTTCGTCGTGGGAGTGCCTTCCAAATCTGGAATGGCAAAAGATCAGCCTGAAATCACAGCGATACCGCCCTGGTACCTTCTGGAGAGATTTTAATATAAATATACATAATGCAGGAACTCTAAAACATGCACATATTAAATTTAATGATCAGTATTGAATGAACTGGATGAGATTTGTGTCCAATGCCGTCCAGGACAGGCTCCAGCCCCCCCTGCCGCCGCCGCCATACTGAAAAAGCCAGGGGTCTCCAACTCCGGTCCTGGAGAGCTACCGTCCAGTAGGTTTTCTATCCTACCCGGCTTCTGATGAGCCACAGCTGTTCTCAGGTAAATACCAGGAGCAGGTGTGGCTCATCAGAAGCCAAGTGGGACAGAAAACCGACTGGATAGTAGCTCTCCAGGACCGGAGTTGGAAACCCCTGGAATAAGCAGTTGGAAGATGGATGGATGCTGGATTAAGCACAGATTTTAGTCTAAAGTCAGACCCATCTGGTAAGTGTGCTGCCTTTAACTGGATGGATACAACGATACCAAAAAATTCCAATTTAAAAATACATACAATCAACACAATAATTATTAATAATTACAATAAATAATGCGAGCTGCTGGTGCAGTGGCACAGTGGTTCGCACTGCTGCCTCACAGCAAGAAGGTTCTGGGTTCGGTCCCGGGTCCTTTCTGTGTGGCGTTCGCACTCTCTCCCCATTTTCACCGGGGGCTCCGGTTTCCTCCCACGGTCCAAAAGCGTGAAGGATAGGCTGTTTGGCCCTGTAGTTGTGTGAGTGTGCGTGTGAGTGTGCGTGTGAGTGTGAGTGTGAGTGTGAGTGTGAGTGTGAGTGTGAGTGCCCTGTGGTGTGTTGGCGACTGCCCAGGGTTGGTTCCTGCCTGTGCCCATTGTTCCCAGGATAGGCTCCGGTCCCCCCCACCGCGACCCCAGTTGGGAATACGTGCTTTCAGCAAATGGATGGAATTCAAGCTGCATTGTAAAATATGGCTGAAATAAAAGTGATACAGCTGGTATATGTTTTTACACTTACCCTCTTCCATTATCCAGATGGATGATAAAAGTCTTGTTCCCAAATTTCTCAAAGGTCTCATAGTGATGACGGTCCATATTACCTTTGGAAACACAGCAAATTTCACTCAAATATAGTTTTATAATCCAGTACATAGGGTTAGGGGTCCAAAGGCAGGGGACCTGGGGTAGGTGAAAATCCACAAGATATTTTATATGTTATAGACCAGGGGTGGGGATCCTGATCCATGGAGGGCCAGTGCGGGTTTTTGGGATGACCTCTCAATCAGCCAATAACAGTGGGTCTCCAGGATTGGAGTTGAGAACCACTGCTTTATTATTGGCTGATGGAGAGGTCATCCCAAAAACCCACACCGGCCTCCATAGAGCAGGTTCCACACCCTATAGGCAGAGGTGGAAATTTCAGTAAAATTCAGACCAAGATTTTGTTTCAACCAAGCAGTTGAGTATCTGCGACTGTGACTCTTTATACTCAACTGGTCGGCTGAAACAAAATCTTGGTCTGAATTTTACTTTTCTGAACCTGAAATTTCCACCTCTGGTTATAGGTTGTCTGTCTTGTGAGTGGAGAGCTAATTCTGGGTGCTGCACATTTTCGGGTTTTGGAACATCAGCCATGGGTCTCACCCATCAGGAAGTCAAAAATGGTCATGTCCATAATATCTAGGAGGCGCGGACCATCGTAAGGGGGCGTCCGTCTGACCTTGTCACAGTAATTCGGATTGATCTCCCACCTGTGGGCATATAAATTACTGCTTATATACCACTAGACACTCAAAGAAGTTACAGGCAATGAGGTATGTTATTGTTCTCTAAATATAAAACATAATATAAAACTATATATGCAGAAATATATGTAAATATGTAACATCTAAGCTCACATTTGATGTTTCATTTCATCAAAGCAAACAACCACCCAGATGAGTGGATGGAAGAAGGAGAAGAAGGAAGAAGACCTCACAGGCAATGGCAGTGTATATGCACTAGGGGGCACTACAAGAAAGGCAATACACATATACTGTTCATTCATTCCAACTAGTACTGGGTTTAAAATTAGACCCCAAAAAGACAGAGGTAAAATTCTGGTATATTGTCTTCTCTGTGGGCCACGTTAGATGGAAAAAAACTGAATTGTAATTTACATTAAATACAACAAGCCAAGCCTTAACTGGTTAATTTGTGCAAAAGTACTCAATCTATATATAAATATATAAATAGGTAATTTCGGATCATTTTCCAATGCAGTGGCAAGACAAGGCCTCACTCTGCTGCCTTGCGCTTATGGTAGGACCGTCGCCAGGGGTTCCTCCAGGTCCTGCGCTTGGCCAGGACCAGGTCCGGCAGGAAGGCGGACAGGGATCCCTCCATGTGCTCCGGCGTCCCGCACAGAGCATGTTCCACGGAGCAGTAGTAGGAGCATTCTCCATAGAAACAGGTGTTGTTGGCTGTGAGACAGAGCAAAGCAGATAGTAACGCTTAAGGAGGATGGTACTTATTTAGTAACTAAATACCTAATTGAAGCCTTTGGTTTGGTCTGGCATCCCATCCAGGGTGTACACTAGCCTTGTGCCCCCGCCCGGTAGGTGATAAATGAACAGAGTGGCTCCCCATGAAAATATTCAGTTTCTTAGGCCAGTTTTTCCTAGCCAAGTCCTTGGGGACCCCCCTCCAGTCCACATTTTTGCTTTTTCCCAGCTCCCAACACACCCTTACCAGGTATTTGGAGTTCTCCATTGGATGGGAGCTGGGGGGAAGCAAGAATGTGCACTGGAGAGGTTCCCCGAGGAGCGGGTTGGGAAACACTCTGTTAGGTTTATAAACGGCCAGAATCCGCCCTCTATTTCAGAAACTTGTAGTCGTGGCCGAGTGGTTAAGGCGATGGACTAGAAATCCATTGGGGTCTCCCTGCGCAGGTTCGAATCCTGCCGACTACGGGGATTATTTTGAGGGCGGTATTTGGCTTAGCAGGTTAGGACACTCAGAAGGTCATTGTTTCCAATCCCAGGGTCAGTAGACTGATTTCATCATTGGGCCCTTGAAGAGATGGATAGGATCCTTAAAAGGTCAATTACCAAGGATACATGCCCAAGAAAATAGTTTAAAACAAACACAGAAATATACAAGGTGGGGCAAAAGTATGTATGTAGTTTTTATTTTACAAAGTAAAGTTCTTATTTTACAAAGTTATTTTTAAAAGTAGGTATACAGTTTCTTTACAGTATGATAAATGGATCTTAGGTATCTGAAATGTCCTCCATCAATGCTGATATTCCAACAGCTTGTCCCCGACACTGTGACACACTTCTGTTACCTTGACGACACATTGTCCACAGCATTGGATTGGGCAACGTGGCAGCACTGACTGGCCACCACGTTCACCCCACCTGACACCCATGGGGGAGGGGGGGGTAGTAGAGGAAAAGGTTTTTCAGAGGAAGCCCCACACAGTGGATGAAATGGAGGAGTTCATCTCGCAAGCATTTGCGGACTTTGATGCTAACCAGGATTTGTGTGCTAAACTGTGTCACAGTGTCAGCCGTGTATCAACGTCTCAGACACTAAACACGACCCAATCAGTCCTGAAAAATAAAAGCTGTATAGCTACTTCTGCCCACCATGCACATTTAGCCACATATAAGTAATTAAAAGCCCACTGTTGTTTGTACCTGGTGATATGAAGAAGGTCCTGCGGAGTTTCTTGTCATGGGTAAGATCTCGGATTTCCTTTGTGATACTGACAAGCCGTCCAGCCGCAGGAGGGACCCTGCGGAAGCCCAAGATCCTGAGAAACAAAGAATACCAGTAAGATAGTCATACTTTTAATAAGACTCCTACCACCTCCGTAAGAGCGTCTTTCTTGGGGTCACACTGTCCCCAAGATCGCACCATATGAGCTGTATGTGTTCAGAAATGAGCTGATGTTTGCATACAGAGATGGACTGTAAGTTCTTATGGTCATGAATACCGAACCGGGACCACTAGTGTTGCACTAAAAACTGTCTTCATCATCAAGAAATTCTAAATCTCAGTTTAGTCCTTGGCAATGTATATACAATACGTTTATTTTTTTATATAGCGCCTTTCACAACAAAGCACTTCACCGGGTTGTGTTGTGATACATAGAACATAATTAGAGAGAGATACACAACGGAAAAAAGGAAGGAAAGAAATGGAAAGAAATAAATAAAGCCAGAAGACAAAGGAAGGAGAGGAACCAAAAACTCCCAAGTAGGAAGAAAAAAAACCTCTGTGTTTATTTTCTTATTATAACTGTTATGTACATTTATTTTTTCACAAAAAACAATAATATATGGACCTGGCATTTACCCATGTATTAGCCATAAATTAGGCATAATATATTGTGTATTATGTAGGTATTATGATTTATGTACATTGCTTTAGAGGGATAAAAGACACAAGCGTGATTCAAGACTGGCATTATTTTGAAAGCCAAGTGTTGGCTAAAAAATGGCTAAAATAAATTATAATAATAAATTATAATATTATTATAATATTATTATAATATAATATAATATAATGTTAGAATATTATTATTATTATAAATTATTAAGAATCCGTGCTGGTCATTATTCATGCATACAGTTCTGCTTGCTAGGTTTGCCATGGCAAAAATACGGATCTGTAGGTGTGCTCAGTGCAGGAATGCGTGGGATGGTAGGAACTGACCTGTCCAGGTGAAAGGCTGCAATCTCAGCGTTGTGCCTCTCAAAGTCTGAGAAGTAGAAGATGTCAGGTGGCGTTTCCTGGTCTCTGGCTTGCCTACAAGACGAGAGACGATCTCAGCATTAGGGTATGTCACAGTTCTGCACGGTGGCCTGAGGGATTGTTCCTCTTGCAGAACAGTGGCCAGTTCACTATGTGAAGCTGGGGGAGGAAAACGTTTCCTGACTCGCTCCTCCAAAATACACCAAAGTGGCTCAATAATATTCTGATCTGGTGTCTGTGCAGGTCATGGAAAATGTCAAACTTCACTGTCATGTTCATCAAACCACTCTGTTACCAAGCTTGCTGAGCGTATTGGTGCATTATCATCATCCTGATACACGACACCACCTTCAGGGTACAGTGTTCGAACCTCTGGGCACACATGGTCCTCCAGAATGGTTCTTTAGTCCTTGGCAGTGGTGCATCCTTGTAGAACAAGTAGTGTACCTAGGAATGCCATGAGATTGCAGCCCAAACCATCACTGATCTAGCCCTGTGCTGCACTCTGGGTACGCAGCAGTCTGGGTGGTGAGCCTCTTTGGGGCGTCTCCACACTGTAACTTTCCCGGATGTGGGAAAGGCAGTGAACATTGACTCATCAGAGAACAGTACATGTTTCACTTTGTCTACAGCCCAAGATTTCCGCTGCTGGCACCATTCAAACTTTCATTTGGCTTTGGCATGAGTGACCAAAGGTTTGGCTATTGGAGCCTGACCAGGAATATTGACCCTGTGGAGCTGCTCACAAACAGGTTTGGTGGAAACCCCGATATGTCTTTATAGTTATATACAGTGATAGTTATAACACTCATTCACACACGTGATTCATCACAGTCCATACAGCAGTAGAGCTTACTTCATAGGTTTGAAAAGCGCTTGTCCATAGTTCTGGAATCTCAGGATCAGCTTAAGCTGCGTCCCACCCGGTTTAATTGCTGTGAGACAGAAATAAAGACATTATATGAAGGTCCTTCCACAGCGAAGCACCTGCTGTTATTCATGCAAGTACGCACACAGACAAACATTCACGTGTGCAAATACTAGAGGATATACCAGCTGCATTTCTGCTGTGGCATGCAGATCACCCACATACACATGTATGCCAAATTTTCAGGGTAAATTGATATTCAGTATCTGCGTCCAAGGACATACTGAGTGTCTGAGTTCAGCTGGGAAAGAAACACCTCAGGACCATCCAGCGTCTTTTTCTCAGGGGTTATATGAGGAAACACAAGCCGGCCAATTAAGGGGGAGATGTCATCACCCAATGTCACATACGCTGTGGAACAACAGACTTTAAAGACTCACTAATCTATTATGAACAGCCCTCGGGAAGGATTATTTGTGCATGTCATTATGACGATAGCTTCTGCTATTTTTTTTGTTTTGTTTCTTGCTAATATTATGCTTTATGTTATGTTTTCCAGATCATTCTCATTCCAGTCATTCTCAGCCTCACTTCTGGCAGGCAGATTTCCCAGATGTCTTTAACATGACAGCACACTGAGTGGTATGAGGCTAAAATATTTTAATTAGTGTGATTATTTCTGTAGGGGCCTCACCAGACAGAGTAAATAAATACCTGCGCAGACCATCAACTGACTCCGATGAAACCCAAACGCTCATATAAACAGCGTCGATACTCCCTCCAGTCTCCTCGTGTTCTTTCTCTCTTTTGATTTGCAGCTCGCACACATGCACCCTCATCCACATTCTCATCCACATTCTCATCCACATTCTCATCCACATTCTCATCCACACACCTACTGCTCCACCAAGGGTGTAGGAGAGAGTTTGATACAACTTTATTGTCTACATGCAAAGGTCTATTTATTAGGGGATGGGGGACGAATGAACCAAAATTAAATACTGGGGGGGGACATGTCCCCCCAGGTTCCTGTGCCCCAATCTGCCGCCCATACTCACCCACATTGCCAATCCGATGCACCACCAGGTCCCCGAGCAGGTCATCGACAGCAGAGCTGTGCCTGGCATACAGTTCATAGCGGTTGATCCCAAGGTGGAATCGGAACCAGCTGGGATACGAGTCGATGGTAGACATTCCCACAGGAAAGAGGTCTTCCTCTTTATCACCCTCGCGGGCCCTGAGAAGACAGTGTTTCCTGTTTGTCCCCTTGCTACAACTCACACATGCACCAAGCAGCCTTACAGAGCAAACCACTGACAAATCCCTAGTGAAGAACAAAGCCGTGAATACAATTTAATCAATACATTTAAAACAAAATCCATAATTAAAATGCATTATTATTGGTGCTGAATCAAATACATGACTTTATTTGTCGATTACCTGTTCAAAATTGCATCTTGTCAATAACCACAATACACACGACTAAGTTTTTCACTTCCTGGATTTTTAGTTTAACGTCGCGCTTACCATCTCTGATTCCCATGAGCTTGTGAGTAAAATGTCGTAGCGCTGTTGACGCTAAACAAGGTGTCTTCATCTGCCAGAGCCGGCAGCGTTTTATTATACAAAGGATGGTCATAAAGAGCCGCCAGGCGCTGGAAACCGTCAACAGGTACATGCTTACTGGTGCCTTTAATGGGAGTCTTGTGCTCGCCTTCATGCGCGTACTGCTCCGGTTGCCCGGCTATGTTTTTCATGGAAAGTGATGTGCAATTTGAGCTCGGATTGTTACTGAGATCATGAATGAAATTCGTGTCGGTGCGGCCCGAATCTACGGCCGACCTGCCTCGCGGTTTCGCCCGGCTCGGCGTTCCTGCGATGGGTTTGTGGGCGCATGAGCAGCCGGTGTCGCCCGTGGTCAGTCCAGCTGTTTGCTTCTCTAGTGTAAATAACAAGTTCATTATAATATGCATAGTGCACACAATTAAGAAAAACACGAGAATGAAAAGTCGGATTTTACGGAGAGATACCATTTCGGTATAAATAATACATATAGGCTAGGCTTTGTATTAGATTAAATCTATGAAACGATTATTATGATTTCTGCAACTGGATGACTTAAAATCTACCTTTTTTCTAGACTTAGATGTGTGCCCCAAATACTGGAATACTGGAGTCTTTCTAAATTGGCAATTCTTGTTTTGCAAATCACTCTTTTATTACATACATTTGAAATATAGCCTACAACTTGAAGTAGACGGACAGCCCCTATTCAGAACGATCATGCGTTACCTAATTCCGTCAAGAAACCATATATGACACCAAAAGATGAGTCCATTATTTACGAATATATGAATACAAGCAAACATCACCTTACTTTTCCATGGTAAAGTAGCAGACAAACTTTTTGAGTGATATATATCTGTAAAATATGGTAATAAATACGTGTATACCAATAAAATAAGTTAACGAAAGCAAGCAAAAACGAAAAAAACTGAAGTGTTTAAATAGCCTGAAACAATTGTTCAATATTCCGCCATTAAATACATTTGTGCATTTGCTGTTTCTATTAACCGCTGCTAAAAAAAAGAAACACGGTGATCGGAGCTATCGATTGTCTTGTTCTCCCTTTTGCGCATCTGTAATCCTTATGATATAAATCAAGCTGTTGCGACTGCAGCCTCGCTCGGCGTCACAAGGGCGACATCGGCTCTGTCTGAACATGGGCAGCGATAATGACATGAAAAGACGGCGAAAGCGTGACACCGAAACCTCTCCCTTGTGGAATACTTTACCCTGCAATTCACAGTAGCTTCAGTAGGTGGCGCTGTCTGATGCACAACGTATAGTGATTGGAGTTGTATTAGGTACGCTTGATTGAGCTGAGTACGGCTGTCGTCACTGGCTTAATTTTTCAGGATGGGATCACAAATAAAGCAGCCAATTGCCTAATGTATATTAGATCAGTATAAAAGCCCCTTTTAAATATTCTGATACAACTGAAAATAATCTCAGCTGAATTTCACTAACAATCGAAAGTTTTTGTAGAAAATAATTGTTGAACCCGTAGACACAATTTGTAAACGTGGACACAATTTAGACATTTTTATAAATATTTTATAGTAAAACATTACAAAAAATTATAAATAAATGCCTTTGAAAATGTCGCGGCTGCAGTTTTCATCCGTGATGATCAGATAAGATTAACCGGATTTAGCAGATGTACGAGAAGGAAAACCACTAACAGTGTCTGGAAACTCATCTGTTACGGAAATATACCAGTTCTTCTGCTGCAGGGCGTCCACAGAGCGCCAAACTGACAAGTGTAGACTGAAGCTATAATCTCTGTGAAACGATATAAGGTCAGAGAGGTGTTAAATTTGACGGATTATTATTTGGATAATGTGCCAAAAAATGTATGACGTGATCCAAAATATAAAGGTACACCTACAGGGGAGTAGCTAGATATCCCGCCCCCTGAGAAAATGTCAACCTGCCCCCAACTCGGGTTTGCGCTCAGCTGATTCTGCCAAGCGGGGGCGATTTTGGTCCCCCTACAAAATGCTGCCCCTGTATACATAAGGACGTCTAGAGAGTCACACAAATACACGCTTCATATATACACGTCCAGTACTGAATGGTGCTGTAATTCATCGGGGAAACAGCGTAGGCCTAATACCATACGGAATATATTCATGCCTAAGAGGCTTGCCATACGGACAGCAGTAAAGTTACATGTCTCTCCCCAACGCTCTGTGTTTGTCTTTATTTTAGTTTCCCCGGTAAATAATACTCACATTATTTATGTACACCTGCTTCTCAAGGCAACCGTACGGTATCCAGCTGCACCGGAACAGTATAACTAGGTTTCGTGATAAAAGTGTTTTTTAAACGTGACTAGGACTTTTACAAGACGGAACATTTCACATAATGCACTTGGTTGATTTTTGTTTCTAAAGTTTAGAAATGCAACGTAGAACAATGTGTAGCGTGACACGTTAATTTTCGTTCGTGCTATAAATCGTGCATTAATAATTCTATATTAGTTCTATAATCAGAACAATATATACATGCAGTCACAGCTGTGATTAATTTTTCCTAATGTGAAAGTTTCTTTCTTCGTTGTAAGATGGAAGGACGGATATTGAACCAGTTGTTCTGTAGATCGGAATTCCACTGTTAGTCCGCCCTTGATATCTTACCATTTGCATGCGCTGATTTTAAATATTTTAAATCACCTTTTTATCCTTTTAAAGTATTTTTGTTCTCAAGTAATATACAGCTTAATTTGTACAAACTTTTCACAATATAACTAAGGAAGACAAATATTTGTTTATAACAAACATCTTAAAAGCATCTTAAATATTCAGCGCTAATCATAATTTCTAAGGACAACAAAGCAATGATTCTGTGGGCTTGCCGAAGAATCGCTGTGGTCGGGACGAATTACATGTATGAGCTGTTTGTGTAGCTGCCAGATGGGACATTTCTCCTTTATTAGGAAGCTGGTGGCTTCACATCTGGCCAACTTCTGCATGAAAAGTTTGAGAAACCACTGCAAAGAACAAGGCTTTATGTTATAACCACATGTGTCAGAAGTTTTGGCGTTTAATAAATGTTAGATGCTGCCAGAGTACAGTTGCTTTTTTTCCTAAAACCTCTGAAACAGCTTTCAGGCTTTTGGAGCAAAAATTATTTTCATTTCTGTGTGGTCCTGGTCAGACTATATTGCCTAATTCATATGTTCCTTGATAGAAAATCTTTGAATATTGGATGTTTGAATATTGAAAGATCTTGAGGGAAATATGTTATTTTTGGTGGCTTGAGTTATGCTGGCCAGACTGAAAATGAAAGGCAGTCTTGCAATGTTATGCTCTTGATTTATGTGTGTATGTTTTTTTTTTTTTTAGGAAAGAATAAATGATTTGTATTTGATCCTTCCTGGAGAAAGATTTTGCATTAAGGTGTTAGGATGAAACAGATGACTGTGCTACTGCTCAGAGCTATCATGGGGGTGTAAATGCAACCCCCCCCACCCTCCTTCATGGGAGGATGTTTCCTCTCCTGTGTATTTGTAGACCTGTTTGGACAATTATTCCTACAAGTGATATATATTTTGGCACCAGAGTGAGATAGTTGTAATTGCTGTGTCCATTTTGCTTATTTCTTCTTTGTGTTAAATAAAATGTCCTCCCAGAACCATTCTACGACTTGCTAAATGCAGAGCATCAGCAGTCAGTGTGAGATTATGGAAAATGTCACAAAGATTTTTTTATGGACACTTAACAGGAAAAAACTGAAATGATATAAACAACACCTGGTATAAACAAAACCTAACAACTATGACATGATAATGATCATTCTAATTGGATTCAAGAGTAAAATGCATGAGAGGCATGAGAACAGACAGAAGTTTGAAGGGAGACAGACACTCACTCGTTTTACTTGCACAAAAATGTTCAAAGGGTAGAAGGAAAAATGATTGGTTCAGAGAAATAACCAATCAGATTGCTGAGGAGGTGGGTCCAAGCAAGTAGAGGAAGCGGGACCGACCAATCAGATGCCTTGGTCCTGCTGCCTCTAGTTGCTTGGATTTTCTTCCCTCTGCACATTTCTGTGTAAGCATAACTCCCATGAGCCAGACGCTGGGGGACATGTTTCAGAGAGACATATGAATCACACCATCTGATGACCTTATGATTCCATGCTAGCTCTGGGTCCTTCCCGGGATTTAAGCAGCCCAGTGGGAAAACATGTAAGAGCCTCCATGTATCAGCCTGACAGGACATGCCCAAGGACATCCTCATCAGCCCCCAGTGTCACACAGGACAGGCACCTCTCTGCTCCTTCACGTGGTTTAACATTTAAGTCACGAACGAGGCTTAAGAGGTAAATTAACAAAGAGAAAAAAAACCTTAATTACAGGCAGTAAATCCTTTAATGCCGCTCAGTTTCTGGGTGTCTCCATATAATCTGGGAAGATTGTCTGAATCAGTGCACTGCCATGTCTTACACAGCTTGGCTAAACCCAGCTGTGAAAGATATAGATCAACAAGCACTAGCTAAGGCTTCAGCTAATGGTGACTGTTACTTCTTGACAGAGTTGGGTAATTCAGGTCCAAAGAGTAAAAATCCAGACCAAGATTTTGTTTCAACCAAGCAGTTGAGCATAGTCACAGTCACAGAGTACTCCGTTTGGTTGAAGCAAAATCCCGGTCTGGATTTTTACTCTCTGGACCTGAATTTCCCAACTCTGCTTTTTGAGTAGTACACATGGTTCCATCTTTAACGTGGGCTCCTTGCAGCACGACCTTGGGAGGAAACAAGGTCACATGGTTCCAGTAATGCTATGGAGCTGCAAAGATTAACAAGATGTTATCAGCGGGAGAACGCAGCACATACGCCAGTCCTATCAAATCTGACACCCTGCGTCTCTTAGCTGACAGTGCGCTTTGGATGAGCTGGATGGCCAAGGATTACGCATGTTTTGCACTGTAAGCATCCTGTGACCTTGTGTGCATATTGGGAATCTGCTGTTGGCACTCTGCAGTGGCAGCCAATTATGAAAGCGATTGCATTCCACAGTACTAATTGTACACAAGTATGCCGTCAAGGTTTGATGTTTCGAGACCACGATATGCCATTTCTATACACAGAGAATGCTTTGAATTGTTTCAGTAAGTTTGTTTTTTTCATTCTGACAGTGTAGGCTCAGAAATTACTTTGCTAGGTAGGAGTTAAGTTGACTTGGAGTTTTGAGGAAGTTTTGGCTTCTATTATTGTTATTTTCAGTCTTGCTCCCTATTCTTCATTTGGATCACATAACCCCGGAAACAGGACAGCTGCCTCTCTAGCATGGTCACACACCACACACCCACATAGACGACCTCCTTTTGTCTTCAACACTCAAAGCTTTGGGATTAGACCGGAGGAAAGAATTCCAACCAATCTAGTTAATACAGCTTGGCACTTGAAGAGTTCAGATTCAGCGATTCACTTTAAATATGATTTGATTGTTGGTGCGAGACGTGGTGGTGAAACAGCCACGCTCTTGGGATTTTGATATACCACACATCAAGAGTTTCGGAGAATGATGTGAAACAAAAAACAGCAGTAGTTCTGTCGTTGAAAATGAGCGCGGCGAAAGGAGAATGCCCAGACTATTTTTTTTTTACTTATTAAATAGCCAGTTTTAATAAGTTGAGAAAATATTTTCAGATGCTCTTTCTACCGGAAGTACAAAAAGTCATTATTACACATACATACAAATGCAGTTGTTCAGAGATCCAGCCTTGTTTTCTGTCGAGTCAGTTTACAGTCAAATATACACACGACTCCCCTGCTTCTTTCACAGCTTTACAAGCGATTGTACATTAAAATGTAAAATTCTGTCTCTACCACATCACATCGGCGTCTCGTCCACGTAAACAGGCACCTGCTTATATGAGCAGACTCCCTGCCTATAAAACAGTCCTGTGCATAAATGGCAGCCACATGTTGATCGTTTTCCCAGAGGTGGACATTTCAGGTCCAGAAAGTAAAAATCCAAACCAGGATTTTGTTTCAACCAACCAGTTGAGTACTCTGTGACTGTGGCTCTATATACTGAAATGGTTGGTTGAAACAAAATCCTGGTTTGGATTTTTACTTTCTGGACCTGAAATGTCCACCTCTGCGTTTTCCAAACTTAGCGCTATACAGTCTAATCTCTATTACCAAAGACGCCTTTTCAGACCATGTTCAGGAAGGACAGCACTTCCTGACACATGACCATATCCATGCAAAGACTAACTGGTCTACAGTAACTCGCCGTTTCCCGTTTTCAAACACATTCCAGTTTAAATATACAGCTTGAGTTCCTCGCCTTTCTTACACAAGAAGCATGCCTTTGTTGAAGCGAATCGTTTTGTACGTTAAAAATTGTAACACTTAATTGCGGCAACAGCTAAAATCTGCCAAATACAAAGACGGGGTCTAAAGCCAGGGGTGCCAGGCGGGGTCCATGCGGCACAGGTTGTCCAGGCTGTTGGCCGCCGCCACGAGCGTGTTGACCTTGCTCTCGCCCCCTTCGAACTGAGCCAGGTTGTGCAGACGCGACATGATCGCCGTGACGGCCTTCTGGACCAGGGACACCAGCTGCTGGCTGTCCATGTTCTCCGGCTGCCCCGCGGGGGACAGGGGCACTGAGGTGTCCTCCTGCGTCTTCTTGTGCCAGGCGATGATCTCGTCCCTTAGCACGGCTTTCAGGATCCCGTCGACCTGCAGAAGCGGAAGCCAGAGGGCAGCTATAAGGAAGGGGTTTGAATCTGGACCAGTTACACTATCATATTACTGCAAAGCCAAGCAATGAGGCCATAGCTAAGAAAGGCAGCTACCTTGAAGCTCGGCTGGGCAAAGCACCGAGCCACTGCAATCATGGAGGCAGTGAGGGGGCCCGACACGCCGATGGGGGTCAGGAACTCCGATATGTTGGGGGTCAGGCGGAAGGGAACCGGCCGGTTGGCGTCCAGGTCACCCGTGGCATCATTTATATCGAAACGGAAATACGCTACATTCAGCTTCCCAGTGTCCTGTCAGAGAGAAGTGTAGGATGAGCACACCATCCAAAACGTTCCACTTCCTCAGCTTTGCAGATCTTAAACACCAAACCTTCCATGCCTCATGTGTTCTAACCTCACACCTGACCGTGGAGCACCTGAGCAGGCAGCAGAGACCAATCAAGGATTAGAAACGCCTGAGGCATTCTTGTCGATACCAATAAAGAGCTACATCAACAGAACACTTTTGGGACATCCTGCCATTTTGAGGGATCAATTTCTAGCGAGGCCTTCGTCTGGTTGCTATACAGCTCAGAGTATCTAGTTATTACCATTACCTGCCCAATCTGCAGCATCTCAGGATTGAGTCGGTTTAAATGCAGCACAAACTCGGCGAGGCCGATAAGCGCCAGCTGGATGGTGAACATCTTGCGGAAGGTCCAGTAGTCCGTAGCATTTGGGAAGGTGTGCAGGGCCCACTCGCGAAGCATGCTACGCGGGACCATGTTCCCTTGTACCTCCTTCAGGATGTCCCGCAGAACCTGCATTCAAATGCACACGTTAACCCTGAATGCGATGGCCACTGTTAAACTTGGCCGGAGTCCGAGAGAGCCCATACGGCAAAGAGCGTCCTCCCCATACCTGGTGGCTTGCCTGGGTCCCACGAGCCTGTACGGTCGCCAGGCGTTCGTAGTAACGGGAGACCGGGTTGTCATGCTCGATTCCCTTCTTAGCACAACGCTGCTTGTAGATCTCCACCAGGGACAGCGACGAGGGGTTATCTTGCACCAGTCGCATCTGAGGGGACACTGCCACAACCCTGGGCACTGGAAAGACGCAGATACTGGTCAAATCACCTGTCAATCGACTCGGCACCAGCCAATCGCTGCAGTTTCCCAACAGGAGCCAAATTCGGATTCACACGGCAGAAAAAATGAGGAAGGCCTACCTGAAAAGAAGAGGTGGCGCTTGGTAGTCTCCTTCCTTTTCTCCAGACAGGGATTAAGGAGCCTGAGCAGCTGGAGTACCCGCTCCTCCCGCCGTGACTCTGTCAGACACGCGTCGTTCATCACCAAGTATGGGTAGATCTTCCCGTTGTGGCCACGGATGTAGAGCCGGCGGGCCGCTGTGTTGTGTTTCTGGACGATCTCCACCCGTGGCATGAACCTGTCCAGCAGTTAACAGTCTGAGGATCCAAGCTAAATTCTTGCTAAGCATTTATCATCAATGTCTGTTACAGAATTTGTGTTCATTTGGGGAAAAAGTCATGCCTATTTGTACAGAAATCCATACCTCGCAATCCTGATATAGTAATGGGTAGGTTTGGGCATGAGGAACTCTCCAGGGATCTCCACCTCTGCCGTCTGGGCAGAGAAGTTGCTGAGGAAGCGACACTTCTCCTCAATCAGGAAGAATTTTGGCAACTGCTTGGTCTTGGCTTCCAGAATCTTGATCCATTTCTTCAGCTTTGAGATGAGATTGTGCAGCTTCATGGACCCCGGCACGCTGAAGTCAAAGTCTAACGGCATTAAAAGAAAAGAAAAAAAGCAGGAGGCCACAGGGTGAATTAACTTGCATTAAGCCACTGCAAAAACACAAAAGGAGATAAACGTCTCCTATGACCTTTCGTAAGACCAAACAAAACATTTTTCTTTCTAGTACTGACGCCTTTAAGGAAATTCCACAAGGACAGAAGAGATTCAACCTGCAGCCCCACCAGTCCTTGCCACACATCCTTTTACACATTTGTTATGGGTCTTAGCAAGGCTGCGTGTCTATCCATCTTTGTGGCTTCATCACTGCCTTTTAAAGGTTGTCTCAAGTCAAGCCCGACCATTAAAAAAAAATAAACCTTTCCCCAATGATGCCTTTACTTCCTGGTATATTTTCAGAGTCAAGTCATTACAGTGTCAGGACGAACTGTCCGCCATGAACAATTGTCCATTTTCTACTTCACAGCCCTGAGTGACAGCTGAGGAAAAAATCAGGCTATGTCACTAAGATATAGAGATTAGTAGAGTTCTTAAAGCACATCTACATATCACCAACTAGCCTAATAGGCCACATAAGCATCCATGCACTAACCATGCACAGAGGTGGAACACTTGACCCCACATTCTCACCTGTGGTGAACTGCCCCTTCATCTTCTGGAAGACGGGGTCCTGAGCGGTGGCCTGGGCACGGCGGGCCAGTGACTCGGAAGCAGCGCTGCTGAACATGGTGGACACGTTGGACACATTCTCCAAGCCTACTCCAAAGGTGCTCACGAGCTTCTTCACAAAGTTCAGAGTGTGGGGAGTGATCTTAGCGTCAGACACGGCTCCGCTCTTCTCAAAAGCCACGGAGTAGCACTTGGCCAGACCCTGCTGCAGCTGTCTCAGGACCTGCCAGAGAACGTAATTGTTAGCTACAAAGGAAACCAGTATATGGATCTCAGAAGCAGGGAGCACTTCAACACACAGTAAGTTGGGTACAGAGAGACAAATTCTTGGGCACACAGGGAGGATATTCATCGCTAATAAAGAGCAGAACACTGGGCTTATGGTTAAAGTTAGCTGGCTGAACTTGCCTCCTCGTGCCAGTTTTCCCGGAACCAGACCATCTGGTCCACGATTCCTTCAAGCGAGGACAACAGTGTGGGGTGCAGCTCCCTCTGCATGTGCATGATGCGGCTACAGCGCCACATGGGCGCCGTCGCGCGTATCGGTCCCGGGTCCGGGGCAGAGTGGGCTGGAGCTCCTGCTGAGCTGGGCTGCTGCTGGCCAGAGTCTGCCGAGACATAAGGGTCAATGCAAGCCGATCTGATTGAAACACGATGCAATGACAGAACTACAGATTAGTCTTTAGCCTTGAAGCATCAAAACAGAAGTAGAGTATAGGGCAGGGTTCCCCAATTCTGGTCCTGGAGGGCCAGTCTGTGTCACAGTTTGCAGATTTCCCTGCTGGTGAGCTGAATAAGGCATGTTTGAGCAGGGAAATCTGCAAACTGTGATGCAGACTGGCCCTCCAGGTCTGTAATCGGGGAACCCTGGGATAGAAGGTCCGTACTTACCGCTCTTGTAACGCTCTCGCTGCTCGATCTTGAGCGTCAGGTACAGAGTTCTGATGGGGAAGTAAACCGCTTGGGGATACATGCGTCCCACCTTGCGGAAAAGACGCACAAAAATAGTGAGCACCAAGGATAACAAGAGTGCACCAAGTCCACACACGGGGAGAGGGGAACACACACCTGGCTGATGAGGTTGAGCAGTGGCTTGCCTTCTGAGCCCACCAAGCAGGTGAGCAGCTGTGGGATCCAGGCCAGCCACTGGATGGGTGGGACACCAATGCAGTACTTCTCTACAGCATCAGCCAGCGTGTTCTTATCATCAAAACTCAACAGCCACAGCACCTGGAAGCCCCAAAGAAAGACTCATTCTATAGCCAGCTTGGTCATTTACTGGCAGGGAAAAACAGAGAGAACTTTACCAAGGGGGCGAGTACAGTGGCAAAAGACAGTAGGAATGACAAACTACCGTACGACAACTGTGCCGTTATGCAAAGTTGAAAAAGCGCAAACCAACAGCAAGAGTGCTGAGCATGTGACGCTCACCTTGGCCAGGTACTTGCGGGACTTGCTCTCGTTCTGGTGCCTGCAGGCATGCAGGTAGCAGGTGATCGCCGACACACCCAGGTGCAGCTGTCGGTCTTTGACGAAGATGTTCTCGAGGTAGTCCCCCCACATGGCCCAAGCCTTCACCAGCACGTCATGCATCTGCACTGCAGCTGAGAACGACTTGTTGGCCTCTTCGGACCTGCAGCGTCAAGACCCATCACAAGTGCTTAATGCTGGGGGTGTAACACCAGTTACATCTCCCAAAAATAAACGTTCTGCATTCATCCTGTATTACCAAGAGCACTTATCTGTCAAGCAATTAAAACGCCACAAAGTGTCAAAATGAAGATTCATTAAACCATCATAAAAGATATTTTCAAATACAAAACTTGTGGACATGCCTACTTAATACTATCATTTGTTTACTAGCTTGTTTCTATTCTGCTCATCTCATTAGATAAGTGGGACTAGTACATGGAAATGGAACTGAACATACTTGTTGACCTGAGCCAGGAACATCCCCTTGAGAGCGTAGAACTCAGCTGTCATCTCTTTCGTGAAATACTTGAGGTTGGTTGACTCAATGACCTCCAGGCCCTGGCAGAGGGAGGAGCAGGTCACTCGTACTCACAAAGACTGAATTCGACTAACGTTGTAACACCATCCTCAGCAGGGACCTCTATCCTCATCATTCACAATGACCAAGACATGAACGTGGAGGAGCCTGCCTGGACCTAAAGGCGATTTCCTGCCACCTCACCTGCATGCACTCGTTCTTGCCCATTATCCCCGCCAGCTGCAGGTAGCACTTGACCTGCTGACGGATCTTCTGGAAGCAGTCGACGATGGGCACGGTGGGGATGGTGTGGATGCGACTGAGGATGTCCAGTGCCACGTTCACCAGCCCCTGCTTACGGGCAATCTTGCCGTACTGGATGATGGCAGAGGCGGATGCGTGGACGCCGAGCATGGCGTTGTTGGAGCTGGGGTCATGCTGAGTGCTGCTCTCATAGGCGGTCACGATAGCTGTAGTAGGAGGAACCATGGGGAGAATCCTCATGTAAGGAGTTTTTGGACCAAAAGTACTGAGAATGGCACCTCTCCACTAAAGAATCATTGGTTCAACAATACAGTCTGAACTTCGGAAAGGCCTGGATGGAGAGAGGAGACAGGATGATGGCCACACGGAGCTGACCCACTCACCCTGGTAGTGATGCTGCCTCCACATGAAGATGCTGCTCCAGTGTGACAGATCATCAGAAACAATGGGCAGCCGGTTCCTCCACGTTTTCACCACAGTCTTCATGTCGTGCAAGCTGGTGTTCCGGCCAAGGTTAGGTGGCTGCAGACCCGCATTGATCTGAGCGGCCTCTTGCAGCTCAATGATCTGCTGAGCAGCCTGAGGGCAAAAAAACACAAGAAACTTCAGAAAAGGTCTTTCTGCTGGAGCCCCGGGACGTGGGAGGCCGGAGGCTGGTTGGGGGACTCACCTGCAGCAGGGGTGTGTGGACATGGGACACTATGTGGGGCAGCCGTCTCCACTCGCGGATGGCCAGGCTACTGGCCATGTCCACCAGCCGCTCAATGAAGTTCAGCTGCTGCTCCTCCGGATGACAAATGGCCAAGTAGCCACGATGCATGTTCACCTTCCAAGCCATCTCTTTGGGGCAGCTTAGTTCAACCTGTAGAGACCAGACTAAACATCTAATTGTGCACTGAGGCAGGACACCCTGGAATTATGTGTTCTGGCCTTCGGATAAAGTAAGACACCAATACGAGGAGGAGAAAGGGGGCATGTACACACCTGACCCAAGGCGTCCTTCATGGCTGCCCAGTTAGAAACTCGCCAGGCACACTCAAGTACCAGATAGGGGTTATTGTGACCTTTGCTCTGGCCATACTCAGTCAGCGCCTCCCACTGGTTCAGTTCCTTGGAGCAGCTGGAGAGCAGAGCCACGGTAAGGTAAGCGCACGATAATAGGAAGGTCGCTGTAAGGAGCACATTTTACGGTAAAAGCAAGAACATCTCCCTTACCGTATCCAGTGGTCCTCCCACAGCTGGTACTCGGGTAAGACAGCTGGGGGGGCGTTGTTCCTCTCGTGCTCCTTGCGTGCCTTCTCCATGGCTTTTTCGTACGTCTCCTGGGCCTGAAAGTTCAGTCTCCTCTATTAGTTTGAAGTGCCATTAACTACAACAATGACCCCATATGACTCCCAAACTAACCCTGATACTATAGGAAATACTACAGAACAGTGTTTCCCAATCCAGTCCTCGGGGACTCACACAGTCCACGTTTTTTGGTCCCTGGGCGGGGACCAAAAATGTAGACTGTCTGGGAGGGAGCTCAGAGGGACCAAAAACATGGACCACCTGTGGGTCCCCAAGGACCGGATTGGGAAACTCTGCTATATACTAACACTGCAGGATGTACCTAACAGTAACCATCATACAGTAATCATAAGCCCAGGCATGCTCCACACTTACCTGCTCAAAGAAACCATGCTGTTCATAGGCAATGGCGGTGCTGGTCTCGGGGAACTTGCAGCGTTTCTGCCACAGTCCGGCCCACATGTCTTCCTCCTGCAGCAGGGAGTACAGCTCTGCCAGGGAATCCAGAATCTCCTGCAAAGAAAGCCACAGAGTCAGGGATAAGTCAAATGCGCATCTGCGTGTAACGTAGCCCAATCGGCCCCAAACGTCTATACCTGCTGCGGAGGCGTGATGCTCTCTTGCTCGTAGAAGTCGCTGCTGTGCTTGGGCTTGGCGTGCAGGCTGAGCCCCTTCTCAAAGGCCTGCTGCTCCAGCATCAGAGTAGAGCGTAGCCACAGGTTGTGCGTCTTGCCCAGGTACTTGAGCACACAGGGCCGTATGGGAATGGGAGGCACGCACTGGGACATGGCCTCCACGAAGCAGCTGAGCGCGCTGGGCTGGCAGTCCCGCTGCACCTGGTGGCTCCCACTGCACAGGAAGGGGCTGATCTCTCCCGCCAGAGCCTGGGGCGACATTTACACAGACACCCATTAGCATGCACCCAGTTACTCCTCCCTCCAGTTTTAGACCAGTCCAGCAGCGATGCTCACGTGCTGTTGACGGTCCGATAGGATCTTCCAGAGCCTCGGGAAGAGTTGCACCCAGGTCTTCTCAGCCAGAGGTGTGGATATGTGGCAGAGCTGGACGAGCGCATTGAGGAGGGCGCCAGTCTGTCAGCAGAACAAGGAGATCATTCAGCCACAGCCGTCCTGCTGATGGGAGTATCAACGGAGCTTAGAAACAATCACGCATTCAAGACCTGATTTCCGGCACATTTAACCCATTCTCTGAGCCAGGTCCCATCAAGACGACATACAGGAAAGACATAAGAACCATCAGTCATGACTCATTACACTGAGAATGGAGTCCTACCGGAGACATGGTTCTACTCTGGAGAAGAGGCCACCAACTAGGATCAAACATAGTTAAAACAGGCTTGGGTTAAGGCCATGAGCTGAACACCAGCAGGGTTGACATTACCTTCACCTCCCTGAGGGAATCCAGGAACTTGTCGTGCCGGTTAGTAAGCATGTGCAGCTGGTTCCCTGCATCCCTTTCAGCCTGCTCCTTAGTTTTAGGGGTGCTGGTCTGGTCTCCAGGAGCAAGCTCGATATCAATCTCTACATCCTACGAAGGGTAAAACCCGGCATGATTTGCTGAGATCTTTCACAAGACCGCAAAGTATAACAGGTCATGTAAGAGTAGCGTATTTAGCGATTCCCAAGCAGGACTCCTCACCTCCTCCTTAGTCTCGCTGTTCTCCCTCTCCCGCGGCTCCTGCTTGATGTGTGTTGCCATGGCGAAGGCTGCACGGTCGTGGCTGTCGGCCAGGTTGATGACGTTGGTGATGGCAGGAAGCATGGCCCCCTGGCAGCTTGTGCCGATAGTGCTGTTGTGCTCACACACCGCCAAGAGAAGCTGGAAGCACAAGACTCTATGAAAAACGCCCCCAAAACGCTCAGTCCGCAAGAACCATGCACTGGCACTCTCGATCCTACCTCGATGCACTGCTTGATCCAGAAATGGCTGCCCATCGCTTCCCAGTTCTGGGAGCAGCAGATGTAGAGGAGCCGCTCATAGACACGGCGTTTCATGGAGCTGTCAAAGACTTCGAAGAACTTGGCCCGGATGTGTGGCTGAGCGCAGCGCAAGCCAGAGAGGAACGCTGGCTCCAGCTTGGATGTGATGTCACTTCCGGAGAGGCTGTCATCTCTTAGAAATATGGTAAATATGAATGTTGACTTTATAAACTTGAATGATAGATCCTATACCCCAATTATACAGTGAAGTTACGCCATCCATGACATTCAAAGACTTGATGCATTAATCAGGTCATAATCCTACTCACTCCAGTATAACTGATTGCTCAATTGAATTTAAGAAAATGGTAAGTGGAAGATCTTGCAAGAAAAGTACCTGTAGACATAGTTAACGAGGTCCAGAAACTGTGCGTTTAACTCAAGGTCGTCTGAAAAGCGCTTTTCAATATAGGTCATCATTTTCACCAGTAGGATAGACTTCTCTCGTGGATTAGGTACCTGGGGAGAGAGTGTGGGAGAGAGATAGAGAGGATTTAGAGGCCAATTAGGGGACACTGGAGTGCCGTACACGTCTGCATGTTCTCTGATGTAAGACTTCGATAAAAAAGAGACTTCCTTTCGCCGTGCTTAATCAAGAAAAAAATTCTTGGTTTGGGTGGCATTTTTCCAGCCTTGAGATGGGTCCAGCCCCTGAGTAAGTGAGCCAGGCATAGAGATACAGCAGATAAGATAAGAACCAAGCAGTTCACCTGGTTGCCCATAGGAGAAGTGTTCTTCACCCATTCCTCCACAATCTTCACCACTGCACGCAGGATCTTGGCGTCAGTAGACTTCTCAATGAGCGATGTGAGGATGACCTGGATGAAATTCTTCCTCATTTCCAGACTCATGACGGAGAGCCGTGTCTTGACCAGGTCCAGACTTAATATCACTAGTTCACTAGTTACTATAAAGAAGGGAGACACACACACATGAAGCATTTCTCAAAGTACTCAATCAGATCTGGGCCAGGCTTCAGGACTCACCTGTGTTTGTCTCTGTAGCCCCAGTAGTGGGCTGAGGGTTCAGATGCTCCCTCACCATCTTCTGCAAGGAGCGCATGAACACAGAGATGAGCCGGTCAATGTAGCTGGAGTTGTAGCTACAGGCCGACTTCAAAATCATTAGTGTCCCTGGAAGGCGGAAAGATACAGCGTTGAGTGCGCATGTACAAAAGCAAAGCCAAAGTATATTCTGTAAAATTTCTTAAAAAGCAGATAGTGCTAACAACCTGGGTAAATTAGACTAACACTTCAGTGCACAAAAGAAACTACACACAGGATATGGCGAGGTGCAACCCTTACCAAAGAGCTGTGTGGGATTAGCGTTGGTGGCCTTCTCATAGTTGGTGAGGCCCTCATAAATGACCTTCCCAACAGCGGCATACAGACACTCCAATTCCTCGTACTTGGAGGCAACGGTGGATGAGCCTGCAGGGGTCAGAGAGAAGTGAGCAAACAGTGAATAAAGCTCCAGGAGAGAAAACACCAGCTATCATCATGACGACATAGCCAAGACTCATAAAGACACCCAGGCTTGTGGCCATCCCTGACTTGGCCACTAGGGGGCCGTGACTCACTGGGCTCAGTGGGGAAGATGCTCATGAGCCGGGACAGCAGCGTGTGCACGGCGCGCAGCACTTTGGTGTTGCCGCAGGTCATGCAGGCGGCGATGCCTCGCTGCAGGGGCTTGAAGTGGGCCAGGATGGCCGGGGACTGCAGGACCGTCAGAAGGAAGCTGAGGATCTCTAGCCCCGTGCAGATGTTGGCATAATTAGCCTGAGCGGGCTGCTCCTGGAGGACCAGAGAGAAAGGCCTCAGCCAACATAAAGGATCACCTCCAACGTGGCTTCCTGGACTCTTCTTAGATGCACGAAACAGCATAATTTAACAATACAACATACTCAGTGGAAGAACGGAATATCAGAGGTAAAAGTAGTTCTCAGAATATTTTCTGAAGTTTCTGACTCAGTTCACACAGAACAAAAACAGCAGGTCCCAATGCCCTGGTGCTACTGGGTACTGGCCCAGTTCCCCCAGCTTCTTAAGCAGAGAGAATCATCCTCCAAGACTAAAGCCTTCCCTCCAACAATAGTCTGGAGAAGACCGTTTCATCACTTTTGTGATGAATTTTGCCCCCAGCACACTCTTCCAAAGTTACCGTCCCCCCAACACCCAACACCCAGAGGTATCAACCCAACACTCACCACAGTCATCAGCAGCTTATCGAACCACTGCAGCTTGAGCTCAGCTCGCGGCCACATGTCGGGTCGGAGCGCGGTCTTCATCAGGCTCACGCAGCGGCGGGACAGGAGCTCCCCGGGGGACCCCGCCGTGCCCGTGCTGTCATTCACCTGCGGGGACACCCGATCCCTGTCACACCCGGCAGCGGGAAGCCCCCGCAGAAGTCAGACCACCACCAACCCCCCCCGCTCAATGTATGACGCATGTTACCTGGCTAGCGATGCGGATGAGGAAGCCGACCACGGTGTCTGTATGCTGCTTCTCCACAGGCTTCGCCAGCAAAGCCTCCGCCCCCGTCGCCGACTGACTTCGCCCAAACACCTGCCGGAACAGCCGGGGGGCAGTGGTTGGAGAATGCGAACTGGGAAAACCCGCTATGTGGAACTGAGCCTTACGGTCAAATGAACTCAAAAAGGGGAGGGGCTGTTGTTACCGTGCCAACCGCAGCCCCTGTGGCGGTGCGGAACCTCTTCACATCCTGGCCTGAATCCACAGAGAGTCCCCGTTTGACACTCCCAGACGCCACGCTGGTCCCCTCACCACTGGCCCCCGCGTCACCTTCAGATTCCAACTGCCAAGCATACGGACCACATCTCACACTGGGGCATCGACTGAGCCACCTGGGCAATCAACTACCGTTGATTACCGGGAAATAGCCCGTAAATAACGCATAACAGCCCTATTGCCCGTCTGAACCGTCAGTAGGCTGTACTCGGCCCCTACCTGCTGGTCCTTGATCCTCTGCAGCTCCCACTTGATGATGACTTCGGCCAGGTCGACAGCCAGCTTCCGCTGCTCGATGGTCACACTGGGCGTGAAGCCCAGTCTCTGCATGGCGCTAATCATGTGCTGCACCAGGTGGTGCCTGACAGGGTAGTACACCTGCAGAGAGAGAGAAGAGCTCACTTTGTTAGTCTAACATCGCGGTACACCTGTACAGGGGTGATAATTAGTCGGGGGGGGGGGGGGGGGCTGTTTACCACACTGGTCACCCACCCTGAAATGCTGCACGATGAGGTGCAGGATATGCACCAGCTGCGGCACCGTGTGTCCCTCCTCCACGATGATCTTGCGTGTCCAGTGCGTCAGCATCTGGTGGCCGTCCTCCATGCGGGCAGGGACAGCCGGCGTCAGGATGGCCATGGCCTGCCTGACCACCACCCGAGCCTCCATGGTGTGGGCCTTCAGCAGGCTGTGGAAGACCTGCAGCACGATCTTCTTGTGGATGGCGAACTTGGCGATGATGTGCGCCAGCAGCAGGTGGCCGCTGTACTTGCAGGCCGGGTCCACGCAGGCTTTGGAGAGCAGGCAGGGCCAGGCGAAGGTCATGAGGCGCCGCAGCTTGCTGTTGCGGCTCTTGTTGTTGTCGTGGATGTGATGAGGCGCATGTTCCACCAGCAGCGTGGCGAACTGCAGCAGGTAGATGCGAAGCGAGTCCAGCAAGTCCGCCTGCTTCTCCGGGTCCAGCACCTGCGATGGGTAGAGGTCAGCACCTGGATGTATGGCTATTACAGGCCAGCCCCCCCCCCCCAAAAGAAAAATTACAGCAGAAGTCAGAGCACCCGCAAGGTTGGTTGAAGTCTTGCATGGATTTCCTCCAACAGTACAAAAGCAGTGTTTCCCAACCTGGTCCTCAGGGACCCCCAGACGGTCCACGTTTTTGCTCCCAGCTGGGAGCAAAAACGTGGGCTATCTGGCAGGGAGGTGGGAAGGAGCAAAAACGTGGGCTATCTGGCAGGGAGGTGGGAAGGAGCAAAAACGTGGGCAGGAGCAAAAACGTGGGCTATCTGGGGGTCTTGAGGACCGGTTTGAGAAAGAATGCTCTAAATCGCTCCTGAAGTGTAAGTACACGCATGTTTGTGCCCTGTGATGGATTGGCATCCCATCCAGGAAGGACCCCAGACTGTGCTACCCTGGTATAGACTCAAGGCCCCCCTGTGACCTGGACCAGGATAAGTGATTAGAAGATGGATGGATGGATGGATGGATGAATGGATGGATGGGCAGAGTCATAACAATGAAGGAACGTGATCTGCTCAGTCAGGCTTGTGATTACCTTAGTGATGAAGACACTGGTGATGCTCTCAGGGTTGTCACCCTCTGGGTTTGGGGGGCCAAGCAATTGCTCTCCCTCCCCCTTCTCAAAGCTGTACAGGAATGCTGGGTTGAGTATGTGTTGCAGAACCTTGGTGGGGGATGGGTTGGAGAACAGACATAATTCAGTAAGTAGAACAAGTTTATATATAATTAGAGCAGGAGGGACAGAGATTCACAGGCTGCGGAGCTGTAGTTCACCTTAGCCTTCAGCTCGTCACCAAAGTGCGGGTCGTTCATTTCGACGAAGCGGAAAAAGAGCGCCCTCTTGTGGGTGATGCTGTAGTTTTTCGGGATCTCCTCCTCCATGTATTCCTTCAAGAAGGTCATGTTACACAGGAAGCGTCCAGTGAACGCCCGCAACAGCTGGAACAGCAGCTCAATCTCGGTGTAGTTCCGTCTGACAGGAGCAGAGAGAAGGGAGAATTTGGTAAGCACTCGTGTACATGCGTGTCAAGAGAGAATTAATTTGGGGCGTTTGGTGCAAGAGCCGTACTTGCAGTAACTGAGCAGGCAGTAAGCAAGCAGCTTAGGCTCCTTCCAGTTGGTGGCGGCCATGTTGTCCTTGTGGTGACGTTCTTGGAAGGCATCGCTGACCCAAACGCGGCGGAGCTGCCCGACTAGAGAGTGCTGTCCAGCCAGCCAGGCTTCGTCATGCTTCACGATGATGCTGATGATCTGCAGAGGACAGTGTCACACACATACGTCAGCAGAGGTGCTTTTGAAGGGCTTTGTGAATGTTTGTGTCTTAGTGTACTTCTTCATGACTCACCTTGATGGCTTGGAACTGAAGGTCCAGCCGGGCGGTGCTGGTGGATGGGGAGCCGGGTCGGGCCGTGGCAGTCGGCCCGGCGGGGACCAGCAGAGGCAAGAAGCGGCTTGGGTTCGAAGCCAGAACATCCCGTAGAGGTTTGGCATCTTTGTGTTTCAAGAAGCTCTGCAAGGAGACTGGAGTTTCAAGACAAGCGGACGAGGAACGGATGGAAAATAAAAATGGACGTGGCCGCACTCACCATGAACATGCGGCTCCACTGGGGGTCGTTGAGGGTGGCCTCCATCATAAACAGCTCCACCGTCTGGGATGGATGACGCGTCAGGAACCGAATCAGGGGCTCTCTGAAAGGGCTTCCGGCCTGAAGGGGGTGGCAACACACAGAAGAGTCAACCAGCCACAACCCCAGCAACAAAACAAAAAACCGACAACACAATACACTGAAGACATTGAAATCAGCCCAAAACCACAGCGCCCCCTGGAGGCAGGGCAGTTACCTCAATGAGCATAGCTCGCTCTGTCTTCATCACCACTTCCAGCAAGGGTTTCACCAGGGTTTGGGGTGCGGCCGGAATGAGGTGGAAAAGGTTGATGATGGCTGAACAAATCTTCATCTCCTGCAAAATAAGCCAGGAATGAATACCTGCCAATCGCCAGTCCATCAGAAAGCACATCCACATACACAATTAGGAAGCGACTCCTAAAATTCAGTTCTTAGCACTGGAGAGATCTCTGCAGGTTTTTATTTTCAGTTCACATACCTCCACCCTCATACTGTACAATGAGAAGGAGAACCAAGACTTCAACACAACCTCAACTTGCAACCCATGGGCATCTTACAGGTCAGAGATGACAAAACGATAAAAAAATTCTCCACTTACAAGGGTCTCCAGTTACAATCAGTGAACAAGGCCACTTGCATCTGAATTACGAAAGACCAGCTGATATCCTGACACCACGAACAGCTGACGTACCAAAACTGCCAACGTGATGAATTTGCTACCACAGCAGAAGCAGCTAACGTGGCTAACAGCGCCAATACGGCTAAGACAGGGAAAGCACCACATCAAACAAACCAGGTACTGCAAGAACCACGCACATACGTACGTACACGCACACACACACGTGCACATGCAAACACACATCACACCACCAGCATGACGACAGTTCCCAAACCGGCGTTCAGAAGGTGACCGTGAACAGGTCTCACCTCGAGGCTGTCCGCGGCCGGCTGTGCCAGAACAGGAAAACAAAAGTAAATCAGGCGAGCGCAAGAACACGTTTGAACCAGCGTGACCGCGCTCAGCCACGAGGAATCACACTCGACCGCACACCAAACATCCCAGAATTAAAATCTGGCAGAAAGGTTTGCACCCTTTCCTCCAAAGGGCAACAGAAACATGGCCACAGACGTCAGAAAAAGCAGCACCTCCAGGAGCAGGCCTGACGTTTCGCAAGTGGTCCGAGGGGAATTGCAGCCGACAGTATGCCTGACAGACAAAGTCTCCACCCGCAGTGGTCCATTCAGGTCACCATCAGAAAGCCAGAAGCGATCCCACATAGGCAGCTGATTGTCCATCGCCCGCCATGTTCTCCAGATGGCCCTCACACGCTAATGCTAGTCCGCCACACTTAGCATGGCAGCCGGCCCATGGCAGAAGAGAGACCCGCCACCATTGCAACAAGCCAACGCATGACCGGTCAAGTGGTCATGTGAGAATAATGGTCTCCCTAGGTTCATCTACCACCCCACCAGCGCCCCAGCCCGGACACGCAGCCGGCGTCACTCACACTGCCGTCGCTGCGCTGCCCGCCCTTGTGTGTGATCACCACCACCTCCATCCACTTCCGCAGGTGTTGCTGCAAAAACGCAAAGACAGGAGCCGTCAGCAGGCAAGTTGGTCCAAAAAAAAAGGCAATGGGATTTCAACTAAAGAGCTGGAGTTGAAGTAGAGCGTTCTAACGCCACCAAAGTGCCTTGTCCATGGAATTACAGTTGCGGGGGGGGGATTTTAGTGATTAATTCCAGCCATTAATCCCAATTCCTAAATACAGTTGGCCTCCGCATCTCTTCCACACCAATAGTCACTACATAATTAGATGGTAATTTGGTAGTTCTATATTATGACTATCTGAAACCGAGTCCACAAAAATGTCTGTTACTGATGATCCATTTTAAATCTTTGCTTTTCTAATCCAAGGTCTAAATACCACTTAGACAACTTCCATGACTGCTGAACAGCAAGTCACTCACCATCATCTGGTCACAGAACTTGTCGTTGAAGGAGTTGGGGAAGAGGCGTGTTACGGACGTGAGGCGGTTGACCACGTTGAGGGTCAGGCTGCGGTAGTCCCCCAGCATCATCAGCAGGGGGCGCATATGGGTATGGATCTGATCCACCTCGATGGTGGCCCCTTCCAGGAACTGCCGGAAATGGACACAGGGGAGTCATTCACACCAGCATGTGTTACATTTAGAATCCTAGAGTGCAAGAACTCCTGGGATAAGCTTTCGTGGTGAACATCTAAAGAACTCAGAAGAACCAACAGTAGGAGCTTGGGTAGAGTCCTGACCTTGCGCATACAGGCCTCACCGGCCTCCTGCAGCTCAGCATTGGTGGAGTTGAGTGCTTTGAAGAGAGCAGCAATGATCTTCTCCCTAGACTGGGGTAGGTAGTTACAGGCGGCCAGAGCATCTGGAAGTGGAAGGGATATTGGGCAGAGCAGGGCATTGGTAATGGCCCAGTGCCGTGCAGTCTCTCTCTCAGCTACATGCAGTACTCACTCAGGGCGGCGATCCGCAGCGGCACTAAAGATGGCAGACTCTTGTAACAGGCGAGCTTCATCAAGCCAGCATCTTCAGCCTCACACAGATTCAGCAGCTGCAGGGATAAGAGGCATTACCATGGATACATACCTGCACCACACCGGCCCAAAGAACGTTGACCAGAATCACTACACACATCTATACACATCCTCAGACATACCTCTGTGTAGAAGACCTTGTGCTCCATGACGTTAAGGTCCATGGTGAAGAGGCGTGGTTGAAGCGTGGTGCAAAAGGTATTTCCCTCCATTAATCCGATCTGGGCGTTAGCTGGTTGGTGACGCAGAAGATGCTTCTTGGGTGGAACCATGTCTTGTAGTACCTGAGAGAAAGATAATGAGCTGTGAAGCCACCTGAGAGCAGCAGACCTCTTCAGAGAAACACCTTCTGTCGCAGGATCTACCTCCTTGTGCGGTTCCATGATGACAGTGACACTCTTGCCCGTGACCTGCGCGAGCACCTGCAGCGAGTGCATGGCCTGCTTCCGGACCGTGGGGTTGGGTGAGGTCACCTCACGCACCAGGTCGTGCACCACCATATGAAAGGACTTATCCTGGGCAGCCAGCAGCTCCTCGCTCCGCTCTTCGTCCTTCAGAGGCGTGGCACACCGCACCAACAGCTGCTCCAGCGTGGTCTTGGCCATGGCGACCGCGCCGTTCGACACCTAGAAGAGACCAGGACAGACCTCAGCCACGTGGCTAATACCGCATTGGTTATCATGGGGCTAGTGACATCCGTTCAATGTTCGCACCTCGCCAGTGAGGTCCATCATAACGAAGAGCAGCGCTTTCAGAAACGTCAGCTGGTTCTGTAGGACCCAGATGAGTGGTAGCCTCTCCATGAGGAACTTGATGGACACCACGCCGCCCAGCTTGGCATACCAAGCCTGCTCGTAGCAGCAGGCACAGAGACGCTCGACGATGTAGGAGAACAGTGGCAGCTGGCAGGCCTGCGAGACCAGTAAGACACCATTAAAAGGCTGGCTTTTACTGTTCTGGTAGAAGATACTAAAAGTGCCTGGCCAGCCCAGAGTCTCACCCTCTCCTTGGATCCCAGGATGATGCTGGCCACGTCAAAAATAACAGCCAGGGCCACCTCCCCAATCTTGCAGAGCTCCTTCTCTTCATAGGCCATGCAGATAGCAATGGCATCGATCAGCACCAGCGGGTCCATACCCTTGGATCCATTCTCCTCGCTGTGGAACATGGCCGTGCTAGGCTGGCTCCCCGATTGGTAGCACGGGAGCAAGAACGGACCTGCAAAACACACAGAATTAAAAACCGAAAGATATAAACTGTCTGAAAGGAGACCGCTAAGCCGTTAACATCCAGCAGGTCCTCACCGCACTGCTGGGCCACAGCAACCATGGTGTAGTGCCGAATAAGGCTGGCCACAAAGGGCAGGGCACTGGGTCGTAGGTCCTTGATGACAGCAGACATAAAGGCCCCAGTCAGCGCCTGCTCGAACGTGCGTCGCGCTGGAGTGTCCTGGGCCTTGTAGCGGTGCGAGATGATCACGTTGGGGATCCACTTCTCCGTGAAGCTGGAGGGGGAAGGGGAGGTTTAAAAAACAAGTCAACAGAGGGACACATACCCCAAGTGGCTCAGCCCGACCAAGCCAACGGCCTTACTTGGGGTGGGCCAGTAGCTGGTAAAGCGCATGCTTGTTGTCTTCCAGGCTAGTCATGGCAACCAAGAAACACTTGATGACTTCCCAGGCTTGGCGTCTGTAGTAGGGCTCTGTGTTGGCACTCTTCAGGCAGTCTAGAGCCGTCTCGATAGCCTGTAGGCCACACCAAAAAGATGTTTAGATGATTTCCCCCATTCAGCTGATTTGTGTTGAATTAAAACCATTTTCACAGTATTCCCTCTCTCAAATGCAGCACATACCTTCTCCATGGGGAGCTGGATGGAGGCCTTGCAGTCCGTAAACTCGGCAGTGATGCTGGGACCCTGTACCTCCGTCACCACATACTGCAGCCGCTGGCTCTCCTTCAGCATCTTGCGGTTGCTGCCGCCGAACTTGCCCAGCACGCGGTACGCCACGTGAGAGATGCTTTCTACCGGGTTCCTCAGGGTGCGCCACAGCGCCTGGTCGGGGCAGAACACGGGCCAGTCAGACGGAGGCGTCTGAGCGTGAAGCGCAAAGCCACGGGCGAGGTATACCGGCATGACTACGGACCTGCATCAGCTCAGCACGGACTGGCTGGATGTGATCGTAGAGGAAATCGGGCTGCAGATTGTCCACACAGAGCTCCAGCGTACGCAAGCCCTGGCTGACCAAGGTCTGGGAGCCATTCAGCGCCGACACCAGGGGGTCCATGAGCATGGGCAGGTAGGGCAGCAGCGAGCTGAGCCGAACAGGCACCGTCAAGCACAGCTCCACGAACAGGTCCTTCATGTGCTGCTTGTGCAGGCCACTCTGCAGCATGTTAAGTCCTGCGAGAGGCAGTAACACATACTGAGCACTAGGCAGGGATCTATCAATCAGCTGTGGGAATACAGGCCAACTGATGGTGACCCTCACCTTGCAGGAGGTTAGGCAAGAGAGGCAGGAACTCCTGGTAAAGCAGGTCGTGGCTGCCACCCCCAATGGAGCGGAAGAGTGCACGCAGAAGCAGGAAGTAGTTGTAGGGCTCTTTGGCCGACTGGGCCAGCTCCATCGAGCTGTTGACAATCTTATGCAGGTGCGGCTGGAGAAGAAAGACCACATTAAGACATAGCAATTCCCCAAAGAACCAACAGATTCAAGCCATTCATGGCAGATGGGGCCACACAGATGCCATTTTCTATATCTGAAGCCCCCAAGCTGGTCATGAAAATTCAAGCACCAGCAGTATTTAACTGCAATAATCCAGAGGTACCAAGTCATCGTAATGTTCTCAATTCATAACTCAACTGCCAAGAAATGCATTCCACACTGTATTTGCAGGTCTGACTGTTGACAGATTTTCCCCTCAAAAACAAAAAACGCCTGAACTCATGCCACCAGCGGAATGTGTGAGAGCAGTACCATAGGCAGTGTGTCACACCAAAGAGTGCAAGTACACAGACCTGGCTTTCAGTGCTTGTGCTTAACCTACAGGAAATGAATGCAGCTCCCCCCCCAGCACATCAATCAGAAGGACAGCTGGCCAACTGCACAACGGCACACCCAAAACCACCACTGCCTAAGACATGACTGACGACTCATGCATTGCGAAGTTTGCCAGAACAGCAGATCAGCCTGAAGGTATCTACAAACTCCTTTGCAGCAGTGAGATCTGACTGCACAGATACCAAGAGCTAACCAGTGACTTACAAAAAGAGCTGCAATTATTAATAATCTGTGACCCAATCCACAGAAGAAAAACAGACAAGTCACCAGCGGAATGTGTGAAAGCACCAGGTTTTTCTAAAATAACCTGTAGCCGCCCTGACCTCTCTAAACCAGTGGTGAGAGAACTAGGCATGTTCATGAGTTTAGAAAACTACACCTGCTCATCACTAAATGCAAATTCTGCTTGGCTCGCCGGTGATCACATGCACCGATGGGACTAAACAGACGGCAGGGAACCAACCTTGAGCATCTGTTCATTCTCGGCAGCGAACAGCGAGACGGAGCCGAAGACCAGCTTGAAGAGTTTGAGGTAGAGGTTCGACAGCTCCACGTTGGAGCCCATCTCTGGCAAGCGTTCCAGCAGGTACTCCACCAGGATAGTGGCAAAGAGCGCCGAAGTCGACAAGTTTGCCAGGAAGGAATTTGCCACAATCTGGGGCAGGGAGATGGGTACATAGGTAAGTGTGGATCAAAAACTCAACATGAGTACAGCCAGGAATTCACCACAGCATGACCAGCATGATAATATTCATCTAAACCCTAAAACATAGTGCTTTGGCAACTAAGATCAACCCCAACTTAATCATGGCAGCATACCTGCAGTGCATAGTTTTTGGAGATCCGCTCCACCATATAGGGCACTGTGGTCTGGAAGATCTCTTTGAAGGTCAGGGGGTTCATCATGGTGAAGACCCCGGCAAAGTGTTCCAGGACCTCCTTCTCCTCCTTCATCCGCACCGTCTGGCAGTTGGCCACGCGGACGTAGGTCTGCCCGTTACCCGCAATTTGCACCTGCAATGAAACGGGGGGGGGGTGTCAACCAATGCCAAAGGAGGCCCTGATGACCTGAACATCACCTGAATGGGCAATGCCAAGCAGGAGTAGTACCACCGACAGCTGGTCCTACCTGGTATATGTCCAAGGCCTGCATGGCATACTTCACCAGCTTGATGTAGATCTGGGTCTCCTTCGGTTGTAGCTGCTTGTTGGGGATGAACTGAGCTTCTGCAAGGCGGGCATACAGAGCTCGGTCATGCCCCCCCCTGTGCCTTACACAGGAGAGGCCTCCCAGGCTGCACGTGATGGTACTCACCTCCCGGGGCTTTGCAGGATGTGATACCCCACGTGATGGTCTTCACGCCGCACACCAGCGTCTTCACCAGGCTGCGGCAATCTGACACCTGGAACGTCTGCTTGTCCTCTTTCTCCTTATCCCCCGGACGATCCAGGGAGGCCACGGGGGTTGGGGCTGGTGTAGCAGGGGTAAGGGGTGTGCTTGGTGGCAGGGCAGGCGTGCTGGCAGTGGGGGTAGCAGGGACTCCTGGCAAGACCCCCGTGTCCACCACACCCATCTCTGATTGGGGCTTACACTTCTTAAAGATGTTGACCAGCTGGTAACGAGCGATCGTGTGGAACTTCAACACGAACACCTAGGGGCGCAGAAGAGCTCTGGGTGTCCGCACCCACACTCCCAAACCCTCCCCCCCACCAAACCAGCCCCACAAAACCCACTCCCCCTCCCCCCCCCCC